ATTTTCCTTCACTGTATCTTTCCAGCATTTTCCAGTGGATTTTGCACGATTTCCTCTGATTGTTATCATGTTTTCCTGCAGTTTCTATATCCTCTTCGTGGGTTTTCAATCTATTCATGCATTTTTAATCTATTTTTCCAAGATTTTTACCCGTCTCCTTTTTGCACCATTTCCTCTGGTTTGCTGCATTTTCAATGTGTTTTTCCAAGAGTTTTACCCGTCTCCTTGATTTTTCCGATCGTTTTTGCACCATTTCCTCTGGTTGTTATCGCATTTTCCTGCACTTTCACTGTCTTTTTCCAACACGTTTACTGCATCGTCATAGTTTGTTCCTAGCAGTCACTCCGGTTTCCTCCATGTTCCAACAGATTTTGCATGGTTTGTTCCTAGCATTTTCCTCTGATCGTTATCATGCTTTCCTCAAGTTTCATTGTATTTTCCAATACATCCTCTTCGTGGGGTTTCAATATGTTTTGTCCAGCATTTTTTTACTACATGTTTCCTATCATTTTCACCTCTTTCCTCCATAGGTTTTTGCACCATTTCCTCTGGCTTCCTGCATTTTCATACCTTTTCAATATTAATATTAATCCAAGAGTTTTACCTGTCTCCTTCATTTTCCGATCCTTTTTGCACCATTTCGTCTCGTTGTTATCACATTTTCCTGCACTTTCACTGTATTTTTCCAGCATGTTTACTGTATCGTCATGGTTTGCGCCTAGCATTCGCTCCGGTTTCCTCCATTTTCCAAGGGATTTTCCATGGTTTGTTCCTATCATTCGCGTCCGTTTTCCAGGGGATTTTGTACGATTTCCTCTGATCGTTATCATGTTTTCCTGCAGTTTCATTGTATTTTCCAATACATCCTCATGGTCTCTCCGGCCGCCAAAAAGGCGGACCTAGGGGGAATCGATACCCCACCGTCAGCAAATTGCCTAGTGGTACATAATCCAGCAAAATGCTCCGTTTTCTCGCGCTCAACACAGGGGCATGGCGAGATTTCGTTCCCTTTCGGCAACCCCCCCCCCCACACCCCCTATTCTCACTTCGTTCGCAAACAGCAACTAGCCAGCTAGCTGGCTTTCGTAATAATCAATTCGATCACTAACGATACATCGTGATGCATTACTTTAATAAAAGATGCGTTCCAATACGTAGCGATGTATTACCATACATTTCTATACGTTCCCAAACATTACCCAACATTACCATATATCACGACAATCCATGACAATACACTACCATAGAAAAATAACGAAAATACATTACAATCAAATGAAATACACCACAATACATTAGAATACATCACAGGACATTTGAATACATTACACATTACCATACGTTACCATACATGACAAAAATCCAATACATTACTATACGTTACATTACGTTACAATACAGCACATTACATTTTTTTTTGCCCCGCGCGCCTTTTTAGCTGCAGAGTTCTTATTCATTTCAACATTTTTCACTTCAACATTATATTTCATGCCATCGAAACCGTAGCAAAAAAAAATACAGCAGAACGTATGTGTGTACGTACGTACGTACGTACGTATGTACGTACGTATGTATATATGTACGCATGTACGTATTTACGTTTGTACCTGTCGTATGTGCGTGTGTACGTTGTACATATATATGTACCAATACACGTGGTGCGTATGTACGTGGTACGTATGCATGTGTGTAATGAATGACTGAAACACTGAAAAATGATTTATATTTGCGTCCCGTTGTGTATGTATGTATAGTATGTTAATTGGGTGTGATATGTTTTATCATTTATCTTGTTTTTTTTCTTGTTCGCTATTTTTTGTTCTGTTCTGTTACAACACGGCAAACATGCCTACGTACATACGTCTACATACGTCTATGTACGTCTATGTACGTCTACATGCATACGTCTACACACATACGTCCACATACATACATCTACATACATACATCGACATACATACATCTACATACATCTACATACATCTACATACATCTACATACATCTACATACATCTACATACATCTACATACATCTACATACATACATCTACATACATACATCTACGTACATACATCTACATACATACATCTACATACATACATCTACATACATACATCTACATACATCTACATACATCTACATACATCTACATACATCTACATACATCTACATACATCTACATACATCTACATACATCTACATACATCTACATACATACATCTACATACATACATCTACATACATACATCTACATACATACATCTACATACATACATCTACATACATACATCTACATACAGACATCTACATACATCCATACCATACCGTACCATACCATACCAGACCAGACCAGACCATACATACCATACCATACCATACCATACCATACCATACCATACCATACCATACCATACATACATACAACCATACCATACCATACATACATACATACATACGTACGTACGTACGTACGTACGTACCATACATACCATATATATACCTTACATACATATATATACCTTACATACATTTATTACATTACATACATTACATACATTACATACATTGCATACATTGCATACATTACATACATTACATACATTACATACATTACATACATACCTACCTACCTACCTACCTACCTACCATTACATACATACATACATACATACATACATTACATTACATTACATTACATACATACATGCATACCTTTACTTACTTACTTACTTACTTACTTACTTTCTTCATACCTACCTACCATACCTACCATACCTACCATACATACCATACATACCATTCAAAACATACACACCATACACACCATACACACCATACATACCATACATACCATACCAAACCATACCATACCATACCTAAATGACCATACCATACCATACCATAGCATACCATACCATACCATACCATACATAAATAACCTTTTATAACATTATATTACATTATATTACATTGCATTACATTACATAACATTGCATTGCATTACATTACATACAAACATATCCACATACACTACATGCATTGCATTGCATTCCATTCTGTTACATTACATTGCATTACATTACATCACCCTACATTGCCTTACATTGCATTTCTTTGCATTACATTGCAATACATTGCATTACATTTATATTAAACTGCATTACATTACATACATTCCTTCACATTCCTTCACACTACATTACATTACATTACATTGCATTGCATTGCATTACATTGCATTGCATTACATTACACACATGCATACCTTTCATACAATACACAAACCGAAAATGATGAACACATACCTTTACATAACACACAACTTCGATATGCATATTAGCTATAGTGTCTTTGTAGGCATATACATCGATTGTATGAAAACAACCTGATATTGCTGGGCGTTTGTGAGTGTCTAGAGTCTAAAGCAGGCATGATCTGTTGCAAGAGTCGACGCATGTAGTGTGAAGGTTGTGGCAATGTGTGTCCGGACAGGGTTCGACGCTGCTATGCTCTGATATGCAGTAATTGATAAGTTCGCAAAACAACACCATTGTACTGCAGTATGGTTTCCCCTTTCTCCAGTAGTGAAAGAAAATACGCTGGCATTCAGTTCGTCCACGGGCTCCACATGCCATCTTCCTGTTGGTCATTGGGATCCTACTTACAATCTTTGCCCATGCTTGCCGCTAGGGACTCACTTTGGACACCGCCGCATGGACGACTCACTTTGCACACCGGCAATGTGTGCTTGCGCATATGAATACTTACTATGTATGTATGTATCTGTCTATCTGTCTATCTGTCTATCTATCTCTCTCTCTCTCTGTCTATCTGTCTGTCTGTCTGTCTGTCTGCGTGAATGTATGTATGTATGTATGTGTCTATCTATCTATCTATCTACCTATGTATGTATGTAATGTATGTAATGTATGTAATGTATGTAATGTATGTAATGTATGTAATGTATGTAATGTATGTAATGTATGTAATGTATGTAATGTATGTAATGTATGTAATGTATGTAATGTATGTAATGTATGTAATGTATGATGTAATGTATGTAATGTATGATGTAATGTATGTAATGTATGATGTAATGTATGTAATGTATGATGTAATGTATGGATGTACTGTAAGGTAGGTAATTATGTTATGTATGTTATATGTATGTGATGTATGTTATGGATGTGTATGTATGTAATGTATGTAATGTATGTAATGTATGTAATGTATGTAATGTATGTAATGTATGTAATGTATGTAATGTATGTAATGTATGTAATGTATGTGTATGCTATGTATGTAATGTATGTAATGTATGTAATGTGTGTAATGTATGTAATGTGTAATGTATGTATGTATGTATGTATGTATGTATGTATGTATGTATGTAATGTATGTATGTATGTATGTATGTATGTATGTAATGTATGTAATGTATGTAATGTAATGTATGTATGTATGTATGTAATGTATGTAATGTATGTAATGTATGTAATGTATGTAATGTATGTAATGTATGTAATGTATGTAATGTATGTAATGTAATGTAATGTATGTAATGTATGTAATGTATGTAATGTATGTAATGTATGTAATGTATGTAATGTATGTAATGTATGTAATGTATGTATGTATGTATGTATGTATGTATGTATGTATGTATGTATGATTATGAATGTATGCATGTGTATGTAGATGTGCGTATATGTATTTGTTGCACTTCAACCATGCGGGTCTAAAGATGTCCTTGTAAGACAATGCTTGCGCGCACCACTTCGTCATCAAGACTCAAAACACCAACGCTGAGTTCCACTAGTAACGTGTCCCACACGAAAAGCAGAAATGACATGACATCACAAACATGAACCGACATGGACTGACATGAAATGCGACATTATATAATTTACATGACAAGAAACAACAGGAAAGGACATGACATGATATGAAATGTATGTCATTTACATTACATGAAATGAAACACTGCTATGTTGGCCGCCTCTTCACTAAGCAGCCCCTCACGCTCTGCAGCTTCCATGGCTCCCTTGGCCCCAAACCAACTAAGTTCACCGAAGAGGGCCTCACACCAGGAAATATCAAGATATATCAAGATCAATATCAAGACATGCCGGAGAAAAAGAACTGCCATCCCGGCCATCCCTGGTTGAACCTTCTAAACTTGCAGAATATTTTTTCTAGCTGGGGCATGGCATGCCATGACGACAGCACACGGCCTGTGCTTCCAGAATGGCAAAGAGCTGCAAGGCAGGGGGTAATGATTTCCACATCTTCTCGAAATAGTTCTTGTCCTCAAGTCCCACAAGGGACGGACCGTGTCTACACATGTTCACATATGTGCACATACACACCACACGGGGTTGACTGCTGCGCATGTCCTCATCTTCGTGAACATACCACTTTGTCGTCTCCCCTCAGCTGCAAGTAAGGCTCATGAAATCCCAAGCACACCGAAGTCCACGCATGCTCTAGAGTACGGAAACTATGCAAACAGCAAAATCCAAAGCAAGGAGCTGTCAAGGGTGTAAATCAGGACATCTTCGATCATACAATTCTTCTCGGTATCCATACGCTGGCGCGTGACCTTCCTCAAATGCAGAAAGCCATGAGAAGTCATGAGAAGCCACTAGCCAAGCAGTGCCTGTCCCGTAGAAACATTCATGTGGGACCTACGTCAGTCCTTACCAAATCGTCATTTTTTCAAATTGGTTTTGCGTGCTCCTCCGGGAAGGCCAAGCATCGCAAGCCAGGGCCTATTCCGAGCCGTCATACGAGAGCCAAGATCTGGAATACACAAATTTATTTGGCCGATCGCAAGACGAAGCTCACCTGAGGGCCAAGTTGTGGAGCTCTCAACATGCCTCAAATATATATATATGTATATATATATATCATTGTGGACAAAGAAAACTCACCCGCGGTGGACTTTTGCGAAAGAACAAATAATAAGTGAGGTGAACATTGGCAATGCATGCTGCCGTCCTAATGGGAAGACTATTCACTTTGGTAATCATTATGTTCCGTTATCGCCCGCTCTATCCCAGGGAGTTCAGAGATTACGGGTTGCGAAAAGTTTACATTTTGTATTTTGATGTTTGTCCTACTCTAATATTTCATCAATCTTGCTATAAATTTGGCATGGCTGGAAAGAATGAAAAAGTGTCAGTGTGGTGGGAACTTGAGCTTGGCAAGAAATCTTCATTGAACCCTGATATATCGTGCAAATCAAAATTCATCACTCTTAGATACTTGGAGTTTGCATGTAGGCCTTGTAGCGTGCAACAGCAAAAAGTCCGGATAGAAAAGAAAACTCACACACTGCTCCTTGTGTGCTAACAAGCTTCTCCGAACGCTGAGCCTTCGGTTCGCCATACCCAGAGACGGCCCCCGGCTGGGCCTAGGTCAAAGTGGAATCCAACAGAGCTTTTTATCCCCAATTTTGGCTGATCCCCATTGGTTTTTGAGGGTACGTTTAGGGGGCATCCTGAGATTTCCATCAATACCTGAAGAAAATGATAGGACCAAGGTGAGGACCGTATTGTTCTCAGGCTCGGGCCGCCTACCACTCTGCCCAGGCCGATGGGAGCCACTGAATGAGGGTCTCTTGTGGCTTCTGTCCACTGCCTGAGGGATGAAAGTTTGAATTTCTGCAGGATGGGGAGCTGCGACATGCGACACTCACTAAGGCTGCTGCGGGTTCTATGGCTCCTTCCTCTTGGAAGTTTAAAAGCCTCCATGGCACAATTCCAAGAGACAGACGACGGAACTTACTATACCATCTGCAACTAAAACGACATGATGACACTTGATGACACTGATAAATGCACAGCATCCAGTAGCCAAAGCCTCGCCTAATTCCACATCTCATAGCGCAAACTCTGGCCAGCAAGTGCATGTCATTCAGGGTTGGAGGGTTGACCCAAACAGGCTCGTGAACAACAGCGACCTCGCAGGCTGTCTGAAGTGTTGGTCACAGCAGAGATGACATGAGAAAAAACACACACCAATTCGTACCTTGACTTGTTCTGAACCCTGCCTCCTCTTCCACATGTTGAAGGCTCCTAGGGGCGACACAGGGCACTTGTGTTTTCAGGTGCAAGCGCGCGTACTGACAGTACATGACAGTACTCTCTTCCGCAGTCTCAAACAAAAACAAATCAAATCTAACAAAGCATTCATGCAGTGCTCATCAAACTCATCATGACTCATCAAGTCAAGCTGCGAGAGTTTCTTGGTGTAAATTCGTCGAGTTGCATCTGCAACTTTTCTCACTGAATCGGCAAGAGCCTCGTGGACCTTGGAATTCTCAACCCCCTTCTGGTTCAACTGATCGATGTCAAAGATGATCTGCATGGACTCGCACAGCTCTTCCATCAACGTAGGCAGTTGGTTGTTCGGAATTCCTGACTTCTGGAGGTGCTTCACTTGCCAATCGACAAAGTCCTGAAAATTCACCTCTTCCTTGTTTGGTAGCTCTTTCCAATCAAGAACCAAACAATCACTGGTAGATGCTGGATGAATGCTCAGGGAGTTCCCGAGGATCTGTGAGCACTCCTTCAGTTCAGATCTTCTTATCAAACCATCTTTGTTTCTATCAAAGACGTTGAACATGGGCCTCATCAAGGCGTGGATATCAAACTTCTCAATCCATCCGTCGTTTCCCACTGTTCGATCTGCTTCACGATCGGTCAGCCAGCCTACAAATTCCTGCAGGGTTGAGACACGTTCTGGTTTCAACGGTTTGAATGTTTAAACGATGTTTAAACGGTGTTGGTTGTTGATTGCAGGTGGTCATGCTTACTACCTTGTTTATTGGTGATTACTATCTCGTCAGCGGGGTTAACACGCTCGAACCCGGCAGCGGCACGTCTCAACGTTTTTTCACTTCAGGCTGAGAAGTCTTGAGCCAAAATGGCTAGGCATAAAAACTGCATCACTTCGACCCAACTGGTTTTGGATTAGTTTTTTTTTTCAACCCTAGGTGAAAAAAGAACAGGGACTTTACAGTCCTATACCCTGTACATCCACCTCCCTATACATACTACTCCTATTTGGTCACATGTGCTCCCCCTCGAACCGCGTCTTGTCGTGGTTCGAGCCTGTGTGGCCTTTAAAAAAAACTACTTTGAACCTAATTTGGCTCTCAAGACCCCAGCCTCTTGGAAAAAACTCTCCCTCGGAATCCTTTGGTTTTGGACTCACAGGGGCTACCGCCTCTTGCGGTAAAACACAATATACCCACGCCACTCTTCTTCGAGGTTGGCCATGGATTTACCATTTCTTTCCTGCAGGCTCAGGAACTTGTACCCATCACGATCCCACGTCCACCGATCCCCCTCCTTGTAGTAGAGATCTTCCCTGGTGGAATCGTGGAATCGCCTCCTCCAGGCACGGTGCATGTAGTAGGCCACATCCAAATCTCCGGGAATGTCTTGGTTTGTCTCAAACCCAAAGAACTCATCATTGCCCCGTCCAGGCTTGTCAACTTGTAGTTATCTTGCGGTATACTTTTGACCGTGTTATAGAAGATATTCAAGATTTTTTCAAATAGACGATGCATTTTGGGGGTGCGGCCAAAGGCGTTTAAAATAGAAGATATTGCAGAGTCCAAAAGTAGCTCAAATGACCGACCCAAAATCCAACAATAACCCCCTCAACATTGGGATGATCTTCACAAGATCTTCTATTTATTTTTTGTACCACTGCCATTTTTTAAGTTTTTACAGGGAAATTAAATAACATCAATAGAACATTGACGCCCGGACCCGGGTGACCCCCCGAAGAGGGGAGTGCAAAAGTACCCCCGAAGCGGGACCCAGCTGGAAGTACTTTTGCACTCCCGCCTTCGGGAGGGGGTCGGTGAAAAACTGTTCAAAAACCCTGAGTTTTTTAGCTTTTGTGATTGGGGAATGGTGATCCAAACCCTTTTTCAAATAGAAGAGAATCTGACATGCTATTGATTTTTTTAAAAGAAGATATTCGAGGAGCGCTGAAAAACACTTTTCAAATAGAAGATAATATTTCATGAGGGAACCCAGAGGGTTCCAAGAAATCGGTTTCAAATACAAGATGTTGGTTTGTAACCCCATGAGTTCGACAGATCCCAAATGCATGAATAATAATTTTCAAAAAGAAGATAATGGTTTTGCACCCTTTTGGGGACCCGCATGCACAAAAGTGCAGATTGATTATATTTACCCATGTTTACCCATATTTACCCCAAATTCTCAAAACATGATTGGGTGAGAAACAATTTTTCAATAGAAGATATTGCCTGACAACCAATGGGGAAGCGGAAACGACCGTTTTCAAATAGAAGATATTGATTATATTCACCCATATCTACTGCAAATTCTCAAAACAAGATTGGGTGACAAACACTTTTTAAATAGAAGATATTGCATGGCAACCCATGGGGGAAGCGGAAATGACTGTTTCAAATAGAAGATATTGATTGTGTTTACCCATATTTACCCCAAATTCTCAAAACAAGATTGGGTGACAAACAATTTTTTAATAGAAGATATTGCCTGACAACCAATGGGGAAGCGGAAACGACCGTTTCAAATAGAAGACATTGATTGTATTTACCCATATTTATCCCAAATTCTCAAAACAAGATTGGGTGACAAACAATTTAAAAATAGAAGATGCTGCCTGACAACCAATGGGGAAGCGGAAACGACCGTTTCAATTAGAAGATACTGATTATATTTACCCATATTTACCCCAAATTCTCAAAACAAGATTGGGTGACAAACACTTTCTAAATAGAAGATATTACCTGACAACCAATTGGGAAGCGGAAACGACTGTTTCAAATAGAAGATACTGATTATATTTACCCATATTTATCCCAAACTATCCAAACAAGATTGGGTGACAAACACTTTCTAAATAGAAGATATTGCATGACAACCAATGGGGAAGCGGAAACGACCGTTTCAAATAGAAGATACTGATTATATTTACCCATATTTATCCCAAATTCTCAAAACAAGATTGGGTGACAAACAATTTTTCAATAGAAGATATTGCCTGACAACCAATGGGGAAGTGGAAACGACCGTTTTCAAATAGAAGATATTGATTATATTTACCCATACCTACCACAAATTCTCAAAACAAGATCGGGCGACAAACAATTTTAAATAGAAGATATTACCTGACAACCAATGGGGAAGCGGAAACGGCCGTTTCAAATAGAAGATATTGATTATATTTACCCATATCTGCCCCAAATTCTCAAAACAAGATTGGGTGACAAGTAGTTTAAAAATAGAAGATGCTGCCTGACAACCAATGGGAAAGCAGAAACGGCGATTTCAAATAGAAGATATTGATTATATTTACCCATATTTACCCCAAATTCTCAAAACAAGATCGGGTGACAAACAATTTTTAAATAGAAGATATTGCCTGACAACCAATGGGGAAGCGGAAACGACCGTTTCAAATAGAAGATATTGATTTGATTTACCCGTGTTTGCCCGGTTCACTTGAAGAGCTCTATCAGTGGTGGGAAAGTGTCACGGGAGTGATACCCAAGAGGCATGCATCTTGGCCTCTTCTCCTCCTGGCAGACGCCAATGCTGTTGTTGGACACTCCACCACTGCTGCGATTGGAGGACATCAAGCTGGTCCACGTGAAGACAAGTCTGAAGCTTTCGAAGCTTTCATTCATCGACACCACCTATGGTTGCCAGCTACTTTCGAGGAGCATCAACAAGGACCTGGAGCCACCTGGACCCACTCAACTGGGAAAACACGCAGGATCGACTATGTCGGTGTACCGTGCATTTGGCCCGTGACCAATTGCACAGCATGGGTCAGCACTATTATGGACCCATCCATCACCAAGACGGACCATCTAGCCGCCTGCATTGATGTGCAGTTCCAAGGACAGCTTCGCTCCTCTGGCTCAAGACGGGCGCACAACAGACTTGTCTTTGCAGACACCAAAGCAATTGATCTCACACTACTGCAAGTTAGTGATGTTATCGCTCCCCAACTTGATGTCCACTCACACGCTGCACAGCTACAGCGGACTATTGTGGACGCCACTGCACCGCAATGCAAGCGACTTCCCCCACGACCACACAAGCAGTCTATCTCCAAAGAGACTTGGCAGCTTGTCCTTCTCAAGCGAGAAGCCAGGAAGTACCTTGCGGACCTGAACCACCGCCAGAGGCTTGACAAGCTCGAACTTATTTTCAGTGCATGGCGACAGAGAACACCTGTTTCACAGCAATTTGCCAATGACTACAGCCAGTTGCTCAGTATGCAGGATCGCCTCATTGCCAAAGCACTGAGCACGTTCCGACAACTTGGACGTGCCACTGTGAGCGCCTTACGTGGTGACGACATCAGATTCTTTCAAGCTCTACTTGAGGAAGGAGCCGACCACTTAGCTCCGGCTGATGTGAAGCGATTCTGGGCCATCATTCGGAGGAGCTTGCCCAAGTTCAAGCAACGATATGCCAACATCGCTCCCTCGAAGATTGAAGCACTGGAAGGGCAAATTGTGCCGCTAATATGTGATCTCGAGTTTGGCTCGGCAATCGATGAAGCAGCTCTGATCCAAGGATGCCACGAGCGACAGCTCGCTACCATGATCCATATGCCTGATGACCCAGTGCCAGCAGAATGCCTACCTTTTCACTCACGAGCTTTGAAACTGCTTTGAGGACAACGACTCCCAACAGGGCAGCTGGGCTTGACCCTGTGCCAGCTGGACTGCATCATGACCACGCACCAGTTATTGCCAAGTTAAATTGCTCCCTGCTGCTCAAGATCCACCTGTGGTGTGCAGAACCCCTTCAGTTCAAAGGTGGCATCATGTGCCTTATCCACAAGAAGGGCAGCATTGAAACAGCGAGTAACTACAGAGGCATTTTACTGCTGGGCTCTTTTGCCAAGCGCATTCACAGCATCATGAGGGCGTCTTTGATGACTACCTTGGCGCCCCATCGAGCTGAAGGTCAACTTGGAGGCTTTGCCAACCAGATGGTGCAGTTTGGCTTCCATTCAGTCATCTCTTGGACCCATGTGCTGGAAGCCCAAGGACTCAGTACAGCTGTGCTGTACCTCGACCTCACGAGTGCATTTCATCATTTGATCCGTGAGTTTGTGCTTGGCGTTACCAATGAGGATGACTTTTTGCAAATCATTGCGGACCTTCATGCTGCAGGCCACCCTATTGATGCCTTTCAACGAGGCCAACAGCTGATTGGAGCTCTTTCCAGTTTTGGATGTGATCAGAGGATACTCTCAATCCTTCAAGACATCCATTCATCAGGATACATGGTTCACAGTATCCAGATCAGAAGCAGTCCGCACAAAAATAGGGGGACTCGACCGGGGTCCCCCCTCGCAGACGCCCTATTCCATGCGGCCATGGCGCAAATCATCACAGAGGTCCGCAGCTGGATTGAACAGGATGAGGCGTTCAGTGCTATCTTGCGCAGATTTGATCTTCCTGCATTGACAGTTGTTTGGGCAGATGATGTGGCGGTCCCATGGGCCACTGAAGGGGCCGCGGAACTCGTACCAGCAGTTTGCAAACTTGTCAAACATATCGATGGAGTTTTCACAGCCAAGGCTTCACCATCAACTTTGGCCTGAACAAGACCAACGTTGTGATCAGCTTCCAAGGGAAAGCAGCGCCTGCGATGCGTACTCAATACCTACATCAACAACGACCAGGTGTTGAATGTGACCTCTCCCACGGGCGTACCACATGGCTCCATTTCAAGCCTACGTACAAACATCTTGGCTTCACCTATGCGGCCTCGCAATCAATTGATGTGGAGCTGAGGAGCTGTATTGGACAGGCCCAACAGGCTATTCCTACCATTGGGAAGCCCATTCTCTTCAATCGACATCTTGAAGTACGTTTACGCCTCTCTCGGGTCCTGGTGGAAACCAAACTCTTTTATGGTTTGGGAACCTGGCGCACTCCCACTCTGCGCCAGATGCAGACCTTGCGCACAGCTCATGTGAACATGCTGAGGAAAGTAATGCGCATTGATCCGACGCATCACCACGCGAATGCCAAGATCTTGGCGCAAACTGATACTTTGGATGTGAGGGTTTTGCTTGCATTGGATCGCCTACGATATGCGCGCAAGCTCTTCACCGTGGGCCCTGAGTTCCTTCAGCATCTTGTTCATGTTGAACACTCTAGCTCCTTGGATTCCTGGCTCCATGGCCTTGCAGCCGACCTTCAAGGGATGAACCAGGTCATCCCTGGGAGCGTGCCATTTGATGACACCCAAGACTTTACAGAGGTCATTGACTATTGACTATTGGCAACGACCTGATCTTTCCTGGAAGAAGCAGCTGCGACGAATTGAACGGCAGTGCAAAGCCCAGGAGCACATGATGACGGATGACAGAGATTCATGATCAGATCTTCAAGGTCTTCCAGCAAGCAGGGGCCGGTTTTGATCCTGACCCCAAGACTCTTCGAACCAAACAGATCTGAAGTGCATGGATGTCCATGTGGGCGAAGCTTTACGACAGCGCAGGGCCTTGCGCTGCATCGGGTACGAGCCCAACAGCAGTTTGCGCCGGAGCACAATCTCATCTGTGGTGCCACTTGCCCACAATGCTTGAGATTCTTCTGGACCAGTGCGCGACTGCAACAACATCTTGCCATTATCTTGCCTATATCCCACGAGGTGGGGGGGTCAACATTTGTTACCAAGCCTTGACCGAACGGGGATACACCACAGAGTACCAAGCGATTGGGGCACCCAAGCGTCTCCAAGGAGCGGTGCGCCTTGACGCGCTACAGACCCCGGGGCCCTTTTGCCTCTTTTCAACAACACATGAGAAGGAGATTGCCAAGGTGCAAGAACTGATCAACAGCTTGGAAGAGGAGCTCACCATCAATGCGGCCCCCGCTGACCACCTGATCGCAGGCCAGGAGCTGAGCGACCGGCTCTCCAAGTGCACGCGCATTTGGGTTGAGCGATTTCGAGGTGGAAGAGGGATACCGGATCACATTACAGATCTTGGTGACTGGTGGCTTCGACTCCTTTGGAACAAGCGCGCCTCAAGCTCCAGCGCCTCATTGATGAGCAGAATGGGGATCCTCGCCCACACCGACCCCAGCGAGTTGGCACGGCCAACGAGCATGAGAGAAGGGGGGCGAGACAGACAATATCATTGGCGTATGGTGAGCAGGCGGATTGGCTGGCGGTCCTTCGCACTTTACAATGGCATGATCTACCTCCTGAAGCGGCTACGCCTATGTACGCAACACTGCGAGACAGGCCACATTTTCTTCTGGCACATGTCTTTTCAGGGAGGCGAAGAGCAGGTGACTTTCATAGCTGTGTCGCTGAGTGGGCAACTCGACGCAACGTCACTGTTACAATGTTGTCCATGGATACCATGGGCAACTTGCATGTGAAGTCGACGTCATGGCAGGAGCTCCTCGCTTGCTACCAACGAGGATTAGTCTCCGCCACCTTGGCGGGCACACCGTGTGAGACCTTTTCGGAGGCGAGACACTATGGACATCAAGAACCTGCAGCCGATGCTGAAGAGCAACGCCGGTTACCGCGACCATTGCGGTCCAGAGACCGACTGCTTGGACTTCCAGCACTATCTCTTCGTGAGTTGAAACAGTTGCACATGGGCAGCGCCTTCTTTCTGCAAGGCCTACTCCTGATTTCCCATCATGTGCGATGCGGTGGGTTTTTCATCAGTGAGCATCCAGCGCTCCCGGCAGACCAGTCAAGGGCATCGATATGGACGTCACCATGGATTGAAATCCTGCTGCGCCACCCGGATGTGAAGCTTCATGTTGTGCCGCAATGGAAATTCGGGGCAGAAGTCCCAAAGCCGACAAGCCTTTTGAGTCTGAGGTTACCCTGTTTTTTAAAGTCTCTGTGCAGACATGCAGACGAGACTTTGCAGAAGCCATCAGCCATTGCCATCGGTCGCAACCTGGATGGCAGCTTTAAAACAAGCAGCCTGAAAGAATATCCAGGTCGATTCAGCGCTGGTCTGGCGCAAGCTGTCACTGATCAGCTGGACCTTGAGATGCGACGGGGTCGAGTGAGGCCTACCTCCCCTGTTTGCACAGAGTCCACGCACAGATGGATCCGAGAGGCAAGCGTAGCTAATGGCCAGATTCGACAATGTTCGAGCTGGCTACCTGACTATCAGCCCGGATCCTGCTGATCAGTTTTTCCAATTAGGTGCATTCGGCAGCAAGGGTGAACCCTTTTGAGCCTGAAAGAGTGAAAGAAAGAGTGAAAGAGTGAGAAGTCTTGAGCCAAAATGGCTACGCATAAAAACTTCGACCCAACTGGTTTTGGATTAGGTTTTTTTTTCAACCCTAGGTGAAAAAGAACAGGGACTTTACAGTCCTATACCTGTACATCCACCTCCCTGTACATACTACAAGTACTCCTATTTGGTCACACGTGATTATATCTCTGATTGTGGGGGTGTTGTCCAACTCAACCCGATACATTCCTTCCGTATTTCGGTGCCATGGCAGCAGTGTCTAAAATCGCCAATCTCCTCATTCATTTTCGGAATCCGTTTAGACGCCGTTTAAAACTTGTGGGGGATCCCTGCACATGTTTTTCGAACAGTTGGAAGGATAAGCGAAGCAGTTTAATAGCCCGACCTTGCCTTGAAGTCGATGAGGCCATCTTGATTCTTGTCAATCACCGCCAAGAGTTTGTCAATTTCTCGCTCGGACATTGAGGATGAAATCTTGTACATGATCGTCGCAAGCTCAGACTTGTCAATCGTTCCACTCGCATCCTTGGAGAACGATTGCTGCAAAACTATTGTGCAAACTTCCTCAATTGCTGTGGACCCTTGGACTCCTTGGACCTTTCCTGTGAACTGATTGAAAAACTGATTGACAAACTGATTGACAAACTGATTGACAAACTGATTGAACCATGTTGAATCAAGCAACTGCATCCCAGGTGGTGAAGTGCTTCAGAATCAGAGCCTCTGCATCTTCTGCAACCTCTTGTGCACAGGGCATCTTGCTTGAAACAGTGGCTCGCCTCTACCTGACGCATCTTGAGCCAAAACGCCAGAATAGGAAAAAAGGTGAAACATGAAAGATGAGGCGAGCAAATATGTCAAAGGCGTGGACTAAAACCAAGCGATCGATCGACGAGCATGAATGACTGGAAGGTGTCAGTCAGCAGGTCAAGTCTTTTGTAGCAGCGCGCCACAGGAGTCTTGTGAGCACAGCAGCCCAAATCGAGAAGCTGAGCTGAAAAATCAAATTGTTGATGGGACGTCCAAAGTGACCAAATATTCGCCAGTCATGTCTTTGTACAAGCCCAGGCCCAAAGGAACAATCACTGCAATTGCTGTTCCAGCAATGATCACTGTACCAATGATGGACGCCAAAAAACTGACAATGTTAAATTCACGATCCTTTGGTGGTGATGGCGCCTCCTTTTTTGGATATGGCTTTAAATTTTTAAGGGATACTAAGCTGGTGATGCTCTGCTCGGACTGACGTCTGACGATCCAGCTTTCTTTCTCTTGGTCATATCTGATGAGCTCAACGGGCTCATCATTTAGGGACGTCCGCTCTGTGAAGCCAGTAAGCATCGCCCTGTCACCTTCTTGGAAAGATGGGTCCTGGACTGAATACTATGGAACATCAACACACAGCAACAACTTACAATCGAATCGGATCTTGTCAAGAAGTCACCCTGCGATCAGCAAATACGGTGTCCTCTGCAGCATCTCCTGCTTGCACAGTAGTTCTGGCTCTCCTGAAAGTGCTGGTTGCACCAACCTTCGCAATGTTGAGTTCAGGATCAAGATGCAAGGTTGAATGGTCATCAAGTACGCAACCACAAGATTCTATTGTCAGGCAAGTCAGCTTCTCACCACTGCGACTCTGCGACGTTGATTTTTCAGTGCTTCTTTAATGGCGGCTTGTTGCTTGCAAAGGAGCAAAAACACTATGCAACCAGTGGTGAGGTTCTCTATGAGAGTCACAGAGGAGCAAGAGGCCGCATGCCTTGGCTCACCAATATGATGGCAACGAGTGGGAGTCCGTTCCAACATGCCATCACATATCATCACATTCAACAGGTCGATACCCTTGAGTTTGAACAGCAAGATACCAACAAGCTGGTTGCAAAAGGTGACCGGCGCATTCTGAAACCCAGAGTCATAGCACATCGATATCTGAACAGAGCACTGTTGAGCCGAGCTGGCCAAACCCAAAAAGTGAGCGCAAGTGAGCGGTGCTTTGGTGGAACACCTCTAGGTTTTCAGCTCCAAGTTCCATCTTTCCCTGTTTTGGGTTTCTTTGCCGAAGCAAATCTACAGCGTAACCAGGGGCAATTATTAATAAATAAAACTGCCCTGTCGCGCGTCAGGCTCTTAGGATCCAGCAGGATCCAGGAAAGTGGGCACAAGGGCAGGCCGGGCAGGGCAGGCAGGCCGGGCAGGGCAGGCAGGCCGGGCAGGCTCCTGGTTTGCCAGCTCCAGCCGCCAAAGCCGTTCTTCTTTTTTACGACCATGCGACTTGTTGTGGTCGAATCGCACTGGTTCGTCTGTGCATATCTACAGTGCAGCTTTGGGCCTTGTGCCTCACGCATGCAGGTGGCACTTGAGTATGCAACTCCAAGTCTGTACAAACTCGAACAATTTGTTGCAGCGTGCGTTTTGCAGCGTACAACACCGGGTCTTCTTTTGGGTCCACTTAGGAAAACCCACATTTGTGCCGGATCCCTAAGAGATTTATGATAAATACCGTGATGTCAAAGTCTGAACACCTGGTAAGCCCGGTAGTTGGTGGTCTCTATTCAAATGCTCTATAGGTCCGTTTGTTCGAACATTTCAAACAGGGTTGAGTCACACCAGCAATACTCGCTTTGTGCGGGTGCTTGCTTGTTCGTGCTTTCAGGCAAGGCAAGAACCAGCCAGAAACAACATTCAATTTCCTGAACACATGAAAATCACAGGGTAACAACCTCACAAGCCTCAGACTGAGTTTCCTTCTTCTCGCTGGTCTCTGAACGCAAGACTGGTAGGAACCCTGGTAGCCGATCAAAGCAATCACACGCTTTTAGCAAGTAGGATTCCACTTCGGCAAGTAGCGTTTTGGCCTTCGCAAGCCATGGCAAGCCCGGGAGCTTGACATTTGTTTTTCTTAGAAGACCTGGTAAGCTTTAACTATCGAAAATGTTCATCTGGGTGGTTTAAATTCCAAAGGTTTAAATTCGGTTTCAACACACATTCCTCGCAAGGCTGCCATGACATGCGTTGACATGCCATGACGTGCAGCAACCTCCAGCCTTCTCATGGGCCAATAGAGGATCAACGTAGTTCAAAGTCATAAACATGTTCTCCGCAATGGTCATAACATTCAACCAAACAAATGGGCCCCAGGCCGCTTGATGAGATGCAAAATATGACTGCGTGACCTTGAAAGCACCACTTTCCAGACCACTGACAATGCCCGCATTGCTCAGCAGGATGGCATTGGTTCTTCCTTGATCCGGACCGTCCAAATCTAATGCCCCCTGCAGCCATGCAACATCCTTCTTTCCCATTGCTGCTGTCAAAAACCTCATGTACCAGGCTATATTGTGAATCTCCATTTTCTTGCCAGCATCCTCGACTGCCTTTTTTGCACAGGCAGCCAGCTGCCAAAAGTCAGTGTTCTCCTCAACGTCCAAAGTGCCCCAACCACTCCGAAATCGAGCACCTAAAGAATAAGAGCCAAATAGTTCCTGTCCATCTGGGATGTGGGACCTTGCATCAGTTGCAAGGATGGGCCGCATACCAATCTTGCCAGATCTTGACATTTGTTTGCGCAAGGCCAATGCAAGACTGGCAAGCAAAGCCGTATTTACTGTTAGACCTCGCTCGCGGCAAACCCTTCTGAGCTTTTCCCCGATTGGCAAAGACGTCACCAATGCCTTGGTTTTGCGCTCCTGCCACGGAGCTAGACCATCTGGCTTGGGCCATTCCTTCCCTTCTCGGGCCTGGACGTTGCTTCGGGCACCCAACGGCACCAAATCAGCCAATCTTCCAACTGCTTTGCCTGGCAAACGGCCTCCCTTTCGTTGTTCCATCAAGCGAGTGAACTTTCCGCTGGGTTGATCCAAGAGCTGTGTCAGCTTTGGCTCCAATGAAGGCTTGGGAGATGACCTTTCCCTTCCAGACAAGATTGAAATCAATTCTTTCATCAGCATGGAAATGCTCTTTTCGTCAATGATTGCATGGTGAAAAGTGAGAAGTAACCATCCTTCCCTGAAAATCTTTGCGCGCCACAACAGCTTCCCTTCACAAGCTTGCCATGTGGCTCCAATGCCCATAGAAGCCGCCTCTGCCCCTAGAAGAGCCAACCCATGCGGAGACACATCTGTATCAAGATCAAATTCGATCTCTGGCATCAAGTCAGGCCGCAAAAACAATCTCTTGTCTTTGATAATTGCCTCATATTGCGTCAAAAGAAAAGCATCTGCCCCATATCATTTTCCCTCAGCGTGAACCTTCAATCATCCGAATCATACATACAATGCACACTGCTGACACATACAGATATACAGGTATATAGTATAAAAATGGAGGCAAATTGAGGGACACCGGAAACTCAGAAAACGACACACACACACAAATCTATATGCAAATTGCTCCGAGAATCCTGAAGCGCAGCAAAATGTGTATGTGTCTCCCACAGTGCTTCTGCAAGCTCTTCAGGTGTTGCCGGACCGGCCACCTGGAACCAATGGGCAATGGTGACCTGAGCGGGTGAGTGGCTTCCGGGCTTGGCACTCTGGGCAACAAGCAAATAGTTGGCAAATAAGATGTCCATCCTCCTGTCCCAGAGGTTGTGGGTATTGACCCATCCCCATGTAGGACTATGTGAATGATTGTCAATGTTTGCAAACACAAGTACTGCCACCAGAAAATGGCCCGATCCAAGCAACATATGGAGTTGCTTTCCAACTCAGCCGCTCAAACGCAGAGAGTTCCCTACCAACCAGCCGGCCACTTTTGCTTCTGGAATTTATCTCGCTACCTTGGGCAATCGTGCAAGTCACACATGAATCCATGTTGCTAAGTGAATGCACTCATTCACAGATTTCGTTCAACATTCAACTGGCATCAAACCCTCAAGTTCACCTGTTTGTATATCATTTCCGTCCCAAGGGATGTCTCATTTTCCGTCCCAAGCGCAGTTGTTACTGGATTGGCAGCTGCCCATGGCTTAACCAGTGGAAAGCTTGAAGCAAGCCGGCAAGAAGAATGAAGTGCAGAACATGTTGTCAGCTGTGTGGGACATGTAAGCGATGGGCTGGAAAATCTAGTGAGCCTAGTGTCTACTGCGATGATGTGTTTGCACAGAAATGAAGAGAAATGGCTACATTACCAAGCTCAACTCAAGCGTGCAACGTGTCTGGCACACACAAACTTTCAAGGCAGGCTCGCTCGATTGTTCCTTCACATGATCAACCCGAGTTCGCCTCCTTTTTCGTCAATGGTTCAATTGAGTGCAGTTTATGTCAGTGCCAGTGTCATGCAAAAAAGTAGTATCGATGGTGCTATCACAGCATGGCTTCCTTGCGCCAACTCGACCAAGTACTAAGCCGAGCCAGGGCAATCAACACCTTGAATTTGCCTTCATCGTCTTCACGATTGTGGCAAGCGAAGATCTCCCAGGGTCACAGTGTCTACTGCACTGTGCAGTCAGCTGCACAGCCGCATTGTCCTGCCCTGTCTGCTGCATAGCTCTTCCTCAGGCTCACAGGTTCACACACACACACATTGATGCATTGTAAACGCTCCCACAGCCCTGCGTACAAGGCTAACAACTATGCAACATGACTCAAAGACTCAAAGCAAGCAGCGCAAACAGTTCACGATGTTCACGGGTTAAGGAGCGCCCTTACCCTTTGGGCCTTTGCTATCTCAAGAACTCTGAAAGAACTCTGAAAGAACGCCGCCACATGCTGCCACGCATCGCTTCATCAAAGGTGATCTTTCCATCTCCGTCTTTATCGATTGCTGCATGTGCTGCCGCTGCCTTATTCTTGAGGTATGCTCTCCTTGGTCGGGGTGGAAGAAAGGTTTGTCAAATTTGTCAAACTCCGATCTCAAGGTCTAATCACCAGCTTTGCAAACTCACATGCGATATGTCACATGGCTGGAGTTTTGATGGGCTTCAAGATTTGTTTAGCTGAAACATGCTGAAACTAGTTCCTTGCTGCATTTGCTGTTTTCATGGGTCCTTTTTGATCTTTCTGTCATGGGATATCACGGATCCGAGAGTCAATTCGTCAACGCTCACCTGGCCATCTCCGTCCTTGTCCATCTCCTTGTGCAGCGCAGCAGCATGCTCTTGTGCAGCCTGGCCGGGGAATCTGGGGGATGATCGAGGAATATCATTGAAATATCATTGAAATATCACCAAGTGAGCCAGGTGAGCAAACCAATCCAAATCCATCCAGAATAATTAAGATTCAGTCAGGAATTAATCTCTTCTGCAACCACGGCTAAACTGGCTAAACTATCCGCAAGGAAACTACGTGAACACTTAATGAAGCCAGCACTTCGGAGCCTTTCCGAGTTCACCAGCCTTCGCCTGTGCCGCGGCCTGGCCATGAACGCAGTGAACGCAGTGAACGCACTTCTGTCCCATCTGTGGATATCAAATCCGCCCGCACCGAAGGTGCTGGGGCGTGATCTTCCGGATGGCACTCGTAAAAGGTTACAGGTTTACCTGGGGGGGGGGGGCATTTTTCGGCCAAAACCTCCTGTTTTTGATAGGTCGTGACGCTCGCCTTCAAAAAACACTGTAAAAAACAGTACGGAAGACACCTGTTCGTGAACGCGCCCGTCCAAAATCGGCAAGCGAAAAGTGAAAAAACCCCGTGTTTTTCAACTTTTTGACCTCAATTTTTTGGTTTGCAACATCTTTTTTTGCGGTTCCGCAGGTGGCCGGGCCCGGAGGCGGATTTTTGAGTTTTTGGACCCGTTTTCGGACTGATTTTCGTCGTTTTGTGATAGCAGAAACACTGGTTTTTACAGTGTTTTTCTGTTTTCTGCATGCTTGACGGCTAGCTTCAAAACTTCCAAAAACCTCGTAAATTACGCTGTTTTATGTTACGGTGTGAATGAAAACATCGTAAATACCAGTGTTTTTTGACGTTGGTTAAAAAAACACTGTAAATTACAGTGTTTTTGGCCACCTGACCCTCAAAAACCATGGTATTTGCAGTGGTTTCTGCTTCTCACCGCGCAAAAACACTGTAAATAAGAGCAATTTCGCCGTTTTTTCATGTTTTTCGTTATTTTTTGAACTGCGTTGGTCCGCTATACATGGCTATCAAATTCTTCGCGTGTTTTTTTCCGACAATCAGTACTTTCGGATGTTTTTGGTCTCAATGGCCGACATCATTGGCAGTTACGAACGATGCGGTGCGGGCGGTTGCCGTCGCGAAGCGACGTGAATACGTTCAAATACCCCAAATAAAATCGAAATAAAAGATAATAAATTTAAATATACAACAATATACACATTAGCCTAACATCTAACCCATCTAACCCATCTAACCCAATACCAAGTCAGAATTACTAGGGCCTTTTCTGGGGTGTATTCAGTGTATTCATATTAAGAACCCCCATGGGTCCCGTAGAAATCTACGGTCATCCCTAGCTCGTCTCGCCAAGGAGCCGCTGCAAGCACTGCTCGCTCCCTCACACGATATTGTTCGTCAAATCGTCCAGCTGCTTCCAGGACTTCCTGCGGAATGCCCGGAATGCCACAGTTTTCCGCAGTTTTGGGGACTAGGGCGACTAGGGGAACCATGGAAATCCTCTCATGAATTTGTATGTATATTCTGTATGACTATCCTCTCATGCTGAATATCCAAGCTTCATGGTTCAACATCAACTTTTGTGTTGTCAGCCATAAATAGGTCTGGCACTGTGATGATCTTTGATGCAAATGATGCCGATGCCGTCCTTGGCAGCTGCCTTGGTCTTGCCAGAGATGTCGTACTTTGCGTCAAATTCACCGGCCTTCGCCTTCGCCATGATTGCTGCCTTGTCAGCATACTCCTTGCCTTGAAGAATGCCATGGTGCAGGGTTGCACCTGCTGCCGCCAGGTTGGTGACCCAGCTTGGGACTGGGCCCACTCCAAGTTTTTTGACTAACTCGGCACTGAACAGGCAGCAATTCTTGTGAAGCAAATCGTAGTCAATACCAAGCCAGTTTTCCTTCATCTCTTCAATGATGTTGTCAATTTCCGTCTTGGATTTCTCAGTCTCACCCATGTCAATAGATTCCTTGTAGACATGAGCCTTGCATCCCTTCGGAGGGCAAGGAAAGACCCCGGTGTTGTCGGGTGTGTAGCCATAGCTCCACTCCTTTGCATTCACTTCAACTCCAGCATGATAGGCACCAGTGCCCATTGCCTCCAGGTACTCATTGATTTTTCCAACTCGGGAGTCAGTTGACACATGATAGATGTGCAGAGTCACAGGAATCTTAGACATGACTGTGCAAAAGCAGCGTAGAAATGACGAGGGCGCGCGCGCTTGTCTGTGGCTTGAACTCTTGCTATTGGCGGATCATGAGAAAAAGGTCATGTGCTGTGATCAACTGATTTTGTAGCTGCCATTGTGAAGAAAAAACTGGACACAACATGTGTCGCAAGATGTGAGGGACAGGGTTTGGTGGGAATTCAGAACTGCTTCGCACATATCTTTCCTCCCAAATGTGTGTTTCATCTAGGCAAAGCTGTGAAACTCCCAAGGCGGCTACCTCAGCAGCAAAAGCTTTGGGATATGCGAGTTGTCTGAAAATGTATCTTATATATATATATTGCCTCCGAGTTTAATCGTGAATCCTCATTTTCCCTATTGATCCCTATTGCAAATTGCCATTTGCGGGCATACCAATTTTCAGACTAACGCATAAAGTATTGTAGTGCAAAGACCTAATCGCTCAGACCTCTCCAGTCTTGGATTTCACCTCGGGGTCAAGGCACTGCAATGCACTAGCAAGTTGCATATTCTATGCTCTGCTTTTGGTTTTCGACATACTGCAAGAAGTCGCTCACATTTGTTGGCCTCTGCTTTGCTGACTAGAAAAATAGACTTAGAGGCTGGCTGAGGACCACTTGATCAGCACTTGGTCGGCCTGGTTTTGCAGGTCCAGCTCTCTCCCATCCCGAGTGTTGCAGAAATCGTCCTTACAAAGGTCAAGGGCAGGATTAATTTGGCGCTTTTCCCAAGGGCTTCTGCAAGCGACCGCATCTAAACCTGCCATGTGAAGAGCCCCTTATACGAGTACACACCGAAGTACCATGCAAACCTCAACACAAGTAGTTTTGCTTTAGTCATGGGTGGGAGCTGGGTGAAATCCATCACGTATGCCCCGCTCGCTTTGTTTTCTAGGCTCTGCAGAGTATGAAGCTGCCGCAGCCGCTTTGGTGCTAAAGGCAGATCATTGCCAGGCCCACCGGTCCTGCCGCTCACCCCACCTCTCATTCCACCCATTCTCTTGCTGCCACCGGTTGCTGTCGAGCCACTGGTTGTTGTCGTTCTGCCACCAAGACTCGGAGTTCCAACCATTGTCATTTCTGTCCCATTGCTGTGCTTGCCATTGATCTGGGTCCTCACCGCGATTCCTATCCCAGGCAGGGGCAGAGTTGCTGTCTCTTTGCCTGGAACTTGCCAGCCAATCTGGCACAGCTTCACCATTCCGTGACAAAATGGTGACAAGGGCTGACAACACTTCGTCATGGTCGTGATTGAGGTTGACATACATGACCACTTTGGCATACCATATTCTTAGCGGGTGAAGCCGGAGTGACAGAATGTCAACTTTGGAAGGAAGGTCATAGTGCAGCAACACATCCACAGCACTGATATCCAGGCCATGACAGCCAGCATCAGTTGTGAATATGACCTTGATCACACCATCGCAAAACTGTCTCCAAATCAGCTTCTTTTGCCAGGCATCTCTTGATTGCCAAAGGGCTGCGCATGGGACACGCTGGTGATAAAAATGCTCATCGAAGAACTGGGCCCTGGCCTTGCTATTGACCCAAACCAGAATTTTCTTTGGCCGATCCAAACCATGAAGCCACTCCTCAAGGTCCTTCTCCAAACGATTCAGTTTCTCTGCATCCTCAACACAGAGAATCTCCGTGCCTGTCCTGAAAGCTCCATCGTTTGGCAAGACATGCAAGAGAACGGGCTCGTGCAAAACCTCTTTGCTAAAGGTAAGGGCATCAAGGTTTACCATTGAATTCATGAGCATCATGCTCATGCGACCTGCGCTGGGTGTCATGCCGAAGTTGAGCAAAGCCTGATAGAAATCGCGCATGCCGATATCAATCATGCAGCTCGCATCGACCATGACAAAGCCAAAAACTTGGTCCAGCCGCACTATCTTTTGGGTGACAACTGCGTTCAAACACCTTGGCACGCTGCAAGCACATCTTGTACTTACATGTAGTTACAGTGGCAAAGCTGCAACAGAAGGGTACATGAGATACATAGCGGCGATGTGGCCAAGGAAGAAATGGATACACAATTGCACACATTTTAAGGCAAAAGCTAGCCATAGTGCCACATTTGGAAGTGTAGTGAAGTGTAGTGAGATGTAGTGAGTTAAGCAAGGGTCGGAAAATGTTGCAAATCAACGGGAAGTTGTTACGGATTCAGAGATATTCAGTGTGTAACATGTGTCTCAGTTCTCCGAGTGACGCAGGAGTTGCTATCAGCACGTCCACACCAAGTGCCAAATCTTGCACTTGTTCCGTGATGCTTTGACGGTGGAGACATACACATCGGAAGCGGGAACCACGCAGGAGCGTGGACGCTACTTGATGGCATTCTGCGGCGCCTTCTTGAGTTGGGCAAAGGACCAAGGTGTCGGGAAAACATATCTTCTTTGGAGCAGATCTTTCTTTCGTATCCTTCAAACCGACCATCATATTGTGAAGAATGGGAACAAGAAACGCACGGGTTTGCCCCGATCCAGCTGGAGCAATGCATAGCACATCGCGGTGGGAGAGGCCCGCTGTAATCATGTACTTTTCAAGCAAACTGGGTGGGCGTGCCCAAGTTCCACATTGTATCAGATTTTGCCGCAATGTGTCCGGAATTTCGGCCTTCATATGCCTGAAGGCATCCTCAAAGCTTGTGGCCTCGACAGGAGGAGTCCCATCCATCTTGGCCCCATTGGTGCGAATTTTACACTGAGATATCTGACGGATCTCATGAGGGTCTGTATCTCGCATCCAGAGTTCAGGGATTTCCCGGTGCCTCGGCAATCCTGAGACATCCACACCTGCAAACTCTCGCAGCAAGTCGAGTTTTTTCCAATGTCCCTTGATCAAGTTCTCATCTGGGAAGTCAATGCCATTAGGGGATGTCTGTGCAACCATTGGTCCTCTTGAGCTATACAGGTTTACTACACTCTGTTGTAGCTGACCTGTTTGCACAAGTCCCCCAGTTTGGAACAGGATCTGCTTTTCAGTCATTGTGACTCGCAGCTCCTCGCCCTCATTGCGAAAAAGATGCACCCTCTCAGGGAAGCTCGCTGCGGCCATGGCTCGGAAAGCGATTCGTATGAGCTTGGCTGTTTTGCCATAGATACTGCGCTTTGCCATGACCTGCCAGGTTTGCCAACACGTATGCAGACTGCGCATCATGCATGTGCCAAGAGGTTGACAAGTGTGCTGCTCACAGTTGAAGCACGTATTGCAGGCTATTGCTGCTTTGCCCGCATCTGAGCCAGCGAAACACGGCATTTCTTTCATAGATCAAAGGGTTCCGATACTTTCTTCAGACTCAAGAGGTTGAGGGACGCCAACCCTTAAATGCCGGCAAAGATGAGCTTCCAAAGTCCACACAAAGTAGGTGGCCAAACCCTCCAAACGAAATCTGCCTCTCCGTTCCAAGCTAGGGAACGCACATGCTTTGCTGATGCACTGGCCGCATCAATTTCCACTTTCATCCCCTCAAGAGGATTCCAGCCACCTTTGCCAGCCGCCTGCCAGGGTTTGAGCATCTGTGACGAGTTTGGGGAATACTGTAGTAGTTGCTGGAGACGTGCACCCAACAACAGCGACTCACGCTTGCAGTTCCAAGAACACGCGCCTGCCATTTCGAGGCCAAATGAGGGGAACGCACGGGCATGCTGTCACCAGTGTCCTACACCCAATGGCACAAACATCAAAGGCTGCGCATCATCGTGAATGATGAAGCAACTCATGTCATAAATCTAAACTACAGCACTGCTCCTCTGCAATGAGGCCACTCGTTCCACCAACTCTGTCTTCTTGCATTCCCATCATCCACACATGGCCCTGCAAGCAGTCATGCTTCAAACGGCCAATGTACCTGTTACGACTCGACCCTGTCCCACTCAACGCCTTCCACATCCAGCCGCTCCTGCAGCTGTGGTAAAGTGGATCTCCACAGTTGACGCTATAAGCACTTCTTGCCTCCACGGAACTGAGAGAATCCTGAGCCTCTGACCCCTTGGACTGCTTCCAAACCGGCACTCCACGTTCACGCCTGCTGGCTCAGTATATACAGGACACAGGAAGAAAGAACTGGAAAAGAATGTACTGTATTGTGTGTGACTCCAGATCCGACGTTGCCCTGAGCACGAGCAATTCTGAAGATTTGCCAGCACCTGGATGAAGCGGTGTACAGCCCAGACATCTCTGCATGCCTGAGACTGAGTCAAACTTCCAGCACTGAATGCCATAAGTGCTTAATCCCAATGAAAAACCAGACCTTTCAGAGTGCCTTGAAGAGGGCCACACATTTTTGTGAGTGGAACCTCCACAACTGTCCACACCGTCCAGACCTACAAAAAAATCAAAGGCCTTTTGCATCCTGAGCTACTCTCCGGGAATGCTGACGAGCAAATTGGGTGGAGTGCTGTTGCAGCTCTTGCAGCAAGTCCTGCCACGGAGACAGCAACAAGTGCAACAAAGAGGAAACTCCTCCAACCTAGGCAGTTCAAGTCTGAAGAAACACTGAAGCAATCGGATACGACCCAATCAAAAGTGTAAAGGTGCGGTAAAGTGCGCTTGCATCATTTACTGTCTGATGCATCTTTTGACTCTTGTCTTGACATTCTGTGAAGTTTTTGCTCATCGCTAACCGTTGCAGTCTTGGGTTTTGTCTTGGCAGAACCACAGTTCAAGCACGGTCTGTCTTGAAGCCAGAGGCTGCTGAACGGCCACAAGCACTCTCGCAAGCAGGCGCTGGAGGTAACCTTCGCTTCACACCAATCACAACCCCTCAGAATCGTTGTAGAATTTTTGCCCGCCATCACTTGCTTCTGAAGACAAGCTACAGGCTCGGATGAAAGCATTCGTGAAAGTGCTGCGGGTTTCGACCTTTGCAACATGCATGAAAATGAGACGGCTGACTGATGTTGTATATCACTCTGGTCTGGATGATTTCAAATATAGAAGCACAATTTCAGTCCGGGAAAATATGGGTTGTCTTTGTTTCTTGGAAACCCTGTCTCTTTGCCGCAGTCCTGCGAAGGTCTTATTGTTAGCTAGTGCGGCGTGGCGCACCATGGCGGTTTCAAACCAAGTGCCGCAATGTCTCTTCATCTCCATCAATCGATTTTGGTATCATATGATCAGTAGTGTTGAGGGAGTTTGCTCTTTCCACATCTTTTGACTAATTCCTACCAGAAAGGCACTCTTGTGTAACTTTCCAGTAACAAAAAAACATCCGCATCTGGTTTCTGAGAATACCTTTGTAGGCGACCAAATTCTGGCAACTTGACACAAAGGAGCTCAGGCTTAAACGATAACATGAAGCACCATACCTGCACACCTGCCATTGTATAAGTTGATGAGAAAAACTCCAGTGTTGAAACTACACACATTTCCACAGTGCAAAAAACTAGAGGCCTCCAACTTCGCTTTTCGAGGACCTGCTGATGTGGTTGAACTGGCACCATTTTGTACAGTTTGGAAGCAAAGTATGGCCACCTTTGGGAGGAGCAAGCGCCAGCTTCGTCTGTTTGTGCAGCCCTGCAATCCCAGGAGCTATTCGCAGTCCTGGCAACCATAAAGAAGCAGCTGAGAAATGATTCGTATTATCATGAGATGCACATCGGCACCAGAATGACCAACTGTTGTGCCTGTGAATGCACGTAAGGCATTTCTCACTCCAAAGGCTCTAAGGGCTGTCCTCTAAGATATTTCTCACTAGCACGGCAGGTGGCTCGCATGCATAAAAAACCTGTGAGTCAAGCACTTCACAAATTTTCTCATGCAGTGCTTGATCACATACCGTCGCTGACGTGCTCGGCACCTCGCTAGCTGCATCCGAGGGACACAGGGTTTTCCCATCTGCAAGCCGTGTCCATGCACCTGCCGGATCTTTCCTACTCTCATTGTCAATCAACAAGACCCAGCTCTTGGTGTAGGGCCTCGGAGCACACAAGTGGGATCACCACCCAAGGAATCACAGACACATAAATAATATTATACATATGTATATGTGGGATCTGCAGATTGTAATAGACAAGTGGGTAAGGTGGGCGAAGAAAAAAAAACTGACAACTTGGGTCAAATTTGAGCCAATTTTTGGCAGTCTTCAAATCCTTTGGAAGTGAACTATGTGCACCCCGGGCCGGCCAAACTCAACACATAACTTGAGAGCAGGCGGAGGCTCACGAAAGGTAGTGTAGTGCGAGAGGAGTGGTGTCAAAATGCTGCGCCCCTAAGATGATACACCAAAAACGTTTTTGCGCAGTCTAAGATATATAATTTTATCCAGAGCATGACTGCGTTATACGGTGTCTTGTGCAGCGTGAAATGATGCACGAAAAGGGGTTTATTTAAAACCCCTTTGTAAGACCTCTTGCAGCAACTGTTATTGAGGCTGAAACAAACCAATTTTGCTGGACTACAGGGACATCTCCCTCATGGAGAGTGTGCCTCTACTGTGGAGGACCGTGACCGCGTCGCCCGTGGGAACTGAACCCATGACCGGGGGGGGCCGTACGATGGACAGTTCGAGGCTATTTAGCAGTTAGCAGCTACCGTTGTGTGTTTACCCATTTTAGTCCATGATAATTAGGCGCGCTGAAGCTGAAAGCGCTGAAGGCGCTGAAGGCGCTGAAGGCGCTGAAGGCGCTGAAGGCGCTGAAGGCGCTGAAGGCGCTGGAGGCGCTGGAGGCGCTGGAGGCGCTGGAGGCGCTGGAGGCTCTGGAGGCGCTGGAGGCTCTGGAGGCGCTGGAGGCGCTGAAGGCGCTGAAGGCGCTGAAGGCGCTGAAGGCGCTGGACGCGCTGGAGGCGCTGAAGGCGCTCAAGGCGCTGGAGGCGCTGAAGGCGCTGAAGGCGCTGCTGAAGGCGCTGCTGAAGGCGCTGCTGAAGGCGCTGCTGAAGGCGCTGCTGAAGGCGCTGCTGAAGGCGCTGAAGGCGCTGAAGGTGCTGGAGGCGCTGAAGGCGCTGAAGGCGCTGAAGGCGCTCAAGGCGCTAGAGGCGCTGAAGGCGATGGGGGCGCTGGAGGCGCTGGAGGCGCTGGAGGCGCTGGAGGCGCTGGAGGCGCTGAAGGCGCTGAAGGCGCTGAAGGCGCTGAAGGCGCTAGAGGCGCTGAAGGCGCTGAAGGCGCTGAAGGCGCTGAAGGCGCTGAAGGCGCTGGAGGCGCTGGAGGCGCTGAAGGTGCTGGAGGCGCTGAAGGCGCTGAAGGCGCTAGAGGCGCTGGAGGCGCTGGGGGCGCTGGAGGCGCTGAAGGCGCTGGAGGCGCTGAAGGCGCTGGAGGCGCTGAAGGCGCTGAAGGCGCTGGAGGCGCTGGAGGTGCTTGAGGCGCTGGAAGCGTTCGAGATATTCTTTATGAAGCCGATCTGCTTGATCTTCTCTTTCTCATATTGCGTTTCTTGGCCTTCGCTACTGATGTTGTGCTTCTTGATTTTCTTGATGTTCGAAGTTGTTATGCCATATGCTCTTTGGTCTTGTCTTTATGATGATACGTTGCTTGATCTTCTCTGCCCATGCTACGCTGCTTGACCTTACCTGCCTCATGATGCTTGATGTCTTCTTCGCCACGTTCTTCTTTTTGATCTTGTCTTCGTGTTTTTTACGCTGCTTGATCTTCTCTACATCAAGCCACACTGCTTGCCTTTAACAAAGCCATGTTTTGCTGCTTGGTCTTCTCTGTATGATGTTAGGCTACCGGATCTTGTCTTTATGATGCCAGGCTGCTTGATCTTATCTACTTCATGCTGCGCTGCTTCACCCTCCCTACCTCATGTCAAACTGCTTGATGTCGTGTACATCAGGTTATGCTATTTGATCTGTTCTTCATGATGCTAGGCTGCTTGGTCTTCTCTATCTCCTGTTACGCTGCTGGACCTTCCCACCTCATGTCAGGCTGCTGGATGTCCCCTAAATCGTGTTATGCTCTTTGTTTTTGTTTCACGCTGCTGCATTGTTTGATCTTATCCTCCTCATGCTACGCTGTTTCACCACCCGCCCTACCTCCTGTTGCTTGGTGTTTTCGACATCAGATCTTTGATTTTTGATAGTTTGATCTTGCCTTGGCGATGCTACACTGCTCGACCTTGACTACCTCATGTTGTGCTGCCTGATGTCCCCTACATCAGGTTGTGCTTTTTGATCTGGTCTGCATGGTGCTAGGCTGCTTGATCTTCTCCGCCTCATGCTGCCGCTTGATCTCCCCTGCCTATCCCTGCGTCATGTTATGCTGCTTGATCTTCTCTGAATCATGTTATGCTACTCGATCTGGCCTTCATAATGCCACGCTGCTTGATTGTCGCTACCTCATGCTAAACTGCTGAACCTTCCCTACCGTATGTTATGTTTCTTGGTGTTCCCTGTATCATGTTATGCTGTTTGATCTTGTCATCAAGACGGTACGCTGCTTGATCTTTTATACCTCATGCTACGTTCTTGACCTTCCTTTGTTATGTTGCTTGTGTTCTCTATATATATATATTGTTGAGTTTTTTGTCTGGTCTTCATGCTGCTACGCTGCTTGACCTTCTCTACCTCTTGTTAGGCTTCTTGGGCTTCCCTACCTCATGTGATGCTGCTTAATGTGCTCTGTATCATACTGTGCTATTCGGTCTTGCCCTCACGATGCTACGCTGCATGATTCCCCCCGTCAAACTACACCGCTTGACCTTCCCTAACTGATGTTATGCTGCTCAATGTTGTTACATCAGATCGTGTTACGCTGTTTGCTGTTTGGCCTTGTCTTCATGATGCTACGCTGCTTGGTCTTCTCTACATCATGCCTTGCCACACAGCGAATGAATTTCATCAGCAAAGGTTTTAGCACCCAAAACTATTCTGGGAGCACAAGTTTTTCGTGTTTGGCATCAGCAGCGTCACTAGTTGCCATTTTCTGGTTTCAGCTAGAAAAAAGCGCTGGCGAGGTGAGGCGCCCAAAATTGCAGATTCTGTGACGGAACTGATGGTCAAAAGACAACAACTCACTTTCATCAAGCAGAAACCAACTCACTTTCATATATTTTTACCTCTCTGCCAAAGCGTGCATAAGCGCTCTTGGAATGAAGAGACAGGCACGCCCCTCAAACCTTTCGCTGTCAAGCAAACGCCGCGCAGCACCTGGTAAGTCTTGTATATCTCTATCCGCCAAATAAACGCTAAGCGTCCATAGCACGGGGCTCCCCCCCCTTATAATTGATGTCTAATACATAACGTCGAGAATTCTACGTTTTGCACGGGCTGGCCCCCCAATACCCCCTATGATTGTGCTGAAGCACGGAGAACTCAGGTAGCTGACGCTACCTTTCGTGACTACATCTCAAGGATATGCATGCTTGACGCTACTGCAGCTAGCCACTGCTCTTTTTCCCAAACTCCAAAGTCGCACGGCATAGTTGTACACCTGTTCAACACAAGTTTGCCTTGGATGGCTAGTGCTTAGCACTAGCTGAGACACAACCGATAGATAGTGTCACCCACTACCCATCTGAAGCTATCACCTGCAGCTTGTACCCATCTGCATGGTGCCTCCACTCTGGCTCTCCAGCCAGCCACAAAATGCCGGTGAGCTCTGGCGCCTGCAGGCCCCCAAGCTGGCCAGGGTCGCCCCCTGAAAGCTCGAGGGAAGAATCTCGGGTCCGTGAAGCGGGCTGCGAAGCCGCGATCTGCGAAGCACAACTCCCAGTTGCGCCACAGCTCGAAGAGCTCGCCCATGCCCAGCTCTCCAGCGTCACCCGCTGCACAACGGAGCTGGAGCCCGTACATCTCCTGAGGAACCAGGTCATTGGCCGTTGTGGTTGGCGCATCCTCGCTTGATGCCTGTAGCACAAGTATGTAAAAGTCCCAAGCATCCCCCGGCTGCACATAAGGTGGAATGATGACACCGCGGCTGCTCCACAGCCCCAACCAAGGGAACTTGAACCCTCCAAGATGTGCTGCGCAACGCTGACAGTTTCCTGCACAGCAAGGCATCTTGACCAACGGGGGGAACAACTCAGATTCCCTGGTTGTGGGCAGAGCGAAGCCGGGATATCAATCCCAGGTAGCCTACACAGCATGCGAGGTCACCCCTCGCTACATACCAGGTCACCCCTGGATACCAGCACTTTGCCGGTTCTTCGTACGCGTCTGGAGATCAAGGCAAAAGCGATCAGAAGAAACCCTACCAGAAGTATATGCGTGGCAGATCAAGCTGGGATGAGCAGTATGGGTGGCTTGAGATGAGCAGAATGTCAGTTGGGTCTGTTGAATGTACTCAGGGAGTTTGAGTTGGCCAATTGCATCGGTAGCCATTCATTGGCTCACTTAATGATGATACATGCACACCCAAGCCTGCCAAACTCAATGCATGGATATATATATATATATGTATTACATCTCTCTACCTATCTCTCTCTGAATCTATCTATCGATCGATCTATCTATACACGAAGAACAAAACGGAGCTATGACATCTGAAGAGACCGTAGAAGGAAAGGTGCCACAATCAAAATGTCATGGGTGGGAGTTCTCAAAGGAAAACCCTCAGGCAGAATCGAATCTGTATTGGGGCTTCTCTTGGCAGTTTATAGGCAAGGCTCTGTCGGCACTGTGGGCATTTCACCTTTCGCTCCTTCCTGCGGTCTAGAACGGGAAAGCAGCAACAGATGCGACTAAATATGAAATTGGGAAGCCGATTGTGAAAACAATATGTAATATGTCTGTCATACGTCCTATGTCTGGTTTGAGCTGCCCATGCACATCATGTTGACAAGCTGTTCCGCTTCAATGCTTTGACAGAACATACGCCCCTTGCCCCTACAATGCAACTATAAACGGAGCTTGTGGCTTGTGATTGAGCATCACCATGCCCCCAAAATCACGACCCCACAAACCAATCAAGGCATCGTTAACAGTAAGAAATAAACAAATCCACATGTTGTCAAAGGTTCTTGGACGCAAATACACGCTGACGTGCCTGTCTGATGACTCATCTAAAATCTGGGAATTGTTTGGGCAAGGCAGAGTGACAGGACAAACCTGAGCCAGAGCTGGAACCATGCTAGTTGCAACAAAGGCAAGAGTTCCACGTTTATCCTTAAGATATGCCATGCACGAGCGTGAGCGAATGTCTCGAGGAGGCTGCGATAATGTGCGCGCCAAACACGGCCGCAAAGGCGTCCTGAGAGGCAAAGGGCTGACTCTTGTGGCGAGGCTGCATAGAAAATCATAGAAGTGATTCAACCTGCATCCTGTGTCGTGTGTTCTTGCGTCTTCAATGCTTGCAAAATGCCAATCACATCTGAAAGACTAAGATCGTAACCCAAGGCATCCAAAAGCGGCCATCCTTCCACGGTCCACACAATGAAGCTGATGCAACCACCCGGGCAAGAACGAGGAGCTGAGGGCAAAACATCTGCTTCCACAACCCTCAAGTCTTCCGCAATCCTGAGAGTCACACGTGACAACACTGCCAGTGACGAAATTGTCAAAGCGCTGAATGGATTTAATTACTTCGGCAATCCTCAGTTGATATCACCAGATTCATGACCTGTGGTGGCCAGAATGCAACCCTCTATATAATACACGAGACACACAGCCTTGCCACCAATGCATCCCAGCTTCTCCGGATGTTTTTTCCATTCCGGGCTGTCATCAGACCAAGCTCCATTCCACTCACCACCCCTTCCCCAAGGATTTCTCACCTGCAAAGGGCTGCAAAGGGCATGGTCTCCACAGGTGCAATACAGCATACCAAGGAAGTGAAAAGTAATGAACAGTCGCCTCCACCAACCGCTGTCCGAAAGCACATAGGACCTGGCATACAACCCAATACGAATAATACAGCCCAATATAACTCAAGCCAAAAACCGCTTCCCTATCCATCACTGAAGATTGCACCTGGAGGACTGAGTACGCATGCTTCGCAAGTAGCCCATCAGGGCGCCTTTCCTGCGCTCTTATGCGCTCTTCATATTCGACAATGACTTCAACCACACAGCAGCAGCTTCGCAGGTGATGTGACTTGCAGGTCCTCTGCTTTGTCACCCTCACCGATTGAGCAACTAATTGCCTCAAACCAGGTCTCTACCTACCGACGTCTGCCTGATCAGCACGCCCATATCAAACACTGAGCTCGATACGAAGCCAGCTTGAGTGTATGAAGCCATAGCCTCCCCGGCCGTCAAGTATATTGCTGGCAGGCTGGCAGTACCAGTTTGTTTTTCTGCTTGGCCTATCCATTCAGACCTTGGCATCTCATGATGGCCACATTGATCAGAGAAAACATGTGTCGAGCGATCCCTGCCTGGAACATGCTTTCATCATCTGCTGTGTCAGCAGGCCCTCTCCATCTGCCACGTCGCATGCCATCAACACCTAGGCGCATCTCATATTCTCCAGAATCAACACGCAAGCACGGCCTCGTCATGGCAGCAAAGAAGCATTTTAGTTAATTGTCAATTGTTAACAGGAAGCACAAATAAAGACAAAGTTAGCCATGTAAAGTTCAGGAGTCGACGCCACTTCTTTGCAGCCTCCTTTGCTTTCGACTCATCTTTGGAGAAGCAATCCTGAAAGTCGTCATGGATTGCATTCGTAACACCTAGGACCTAGGAGCAATAAGAATGGTTTGACTTTAAGCCAAGCTTCTGCAATGTCGCACATTTCCCATCCTTGAGCTGCCGGGTTTGGGTGTGCCATTGATGCCGCGAACCCCCCAAAAAAATGAAATCACAACGCAAATGCAACAAGCCGCTGGTCCATGCACCCTTGTCACGTGTCCACCGCGCCATCCAAGGCTGCCCGGTGAGAACCTTCCACGTGACTCACGTTCAAATGAAGTTCGTCATGGCTGAGGATAGGAACATGTTGAAAAGGCTGTAGCTCTGACCAGGACATCCGTGCAACTCCTTTTGATATCTGAAAGAGCTGAAAGAGACCGCAAGTTGTTGGTGTCATGGAGACTGCTGCCTGCCAAGCCCAAGGAGTGCTGCCGCCAATAAGCGCCTCATAGCTTCCCACGAACCTGCAGCAACAGATGAAACCTTGTGATGAGAACCACGTAAGGCACATCTTGGAGAGCTGTTTGGACAGCAAACAGCATTGGACACCACAAACCATTGCCCCATGGCCCGAAGTCATCCGAAGTCAAAGGCCCTGACTTTGCGAAGGCCTTCTCAAGCAGCAGTGCCTACATCACCGTTTTTCTTGAAGATCCATGAGATGTAGCGAGGAAAAATCCAGCCGGGAAAGCAGAGCTGTGTAAAGCCAAGGGAATGAGCTAAGGCGGCTAAGGGAATGGCCCAAAGACTCCCACCTTAGGCAAAAGAACTAGGCACTGCGCGGATTTTAAGCTTCAACTCCAAACTGGCATTGCATCCAGGCTGCTGTCTCCCTCCAGCTGAGCGAAGAGGGGCGCACCATACCGATCACATGGAATCAAGTCATCAATTTCCACATCCTCAGGTGCTAGATGTATGGTGCAAGTGGTACGAGGCCAAAACTTCCAAGAGAAACCAAACGAGTCAATCTCCAACCCAAGTAGTTCGGCTGCGCCATTCTGGGCAAAAAATGCAACAAACAACATCCAAGACCGTGGCTTCCCATCCAGATCTCAGATCATAGAGCCTCACAACGCATCCTTAGGAACGAATGTCAAATCCAAGTCTTGATATATGCGCAGCATTGACAACCTTGGTCATGATATCATATCAGCCTATTCAATGAAAAGGGAGCAACAGGTGGATGCAATGCAATCTTCATGAAGGGACAACGTGAGTTGAAGCATCTACCTAAACTGTGGAACTCACTTCCCATCTGCATCCTTCTGTGTGAGAATGAGGGAGCCCAAAAACACTCCAATTCCTTCGATGCCAGCCTTCTAGCACAGTTTGTTGCTGAACTATCTAGCACAGCCAGTTGTTTCTTGAGGCACTCCTGAATAGGGCGGCTGTGTCAACTGCAAGCCCCTTCCTGTCAGGCACTGGAAACCCATCAACCATCTGGTCCACAGGTTGGACTTGTTGGACGTTAGAATCCCTTCTTTCTGTATTCTTGTCCCTTCCAGATCCTTCAGAATCCTTGCAACCTGTAGCTTCAACCGAGAGGCGCCCATTGTCGGTGAGGCTCGGAACTTCCTCAGACACGAAAACGATCGACCATCGACAAAGTGTCCCATGAATTCGAAAGGTCTCCCCGTTCATTCGCTGCACTTTGCATGTCTTCAAGAGGCACTGCAGAAAGCCCTGTCATGCCTTTTGGGCAAGCATCGAAAAGATTCATGATATGTCCTGGAAAATCAGCCATGACCTCAAGGTAGGCAAACAGGAGGTGTTTGTTACTTCACTAGGCAAGACTCACCGCTCATGTCCAACCCCAATGCAAACAAGTGACTGCAATGGCCGCCAGCAACCAACAGTCGCCAAGCTCGCCCTGCTTGATGTTGTCGGCCTCGCATCAAAACAGAACGCAAAAATACAGAAATCACAACAAAATCATCAATCCACACATAAATCAAACAAAGCAGAGCGCCTCGATCACGGAGAAGAGCTTGGCATTCCTGGGCTTCACCACTTTTCAAGCCGAGCTTGTGATGCAAAAAGGTGCATACCAAAAGGAACCACCGGCCCTTGCTCTCACCATGTCTCACAGGACTTGCGCCTACATCCAAATTGTCTAGATGTCCATGTGTTGACAGATTCCAAACTGACCTTTCAATTGGCACCGCACAACCGCAGGTGTTTGCATTGGTTGCATCATTCATCTGGATGCCTCAACATATCTATATAGCATATCTAATCAAATGTCCTCAGGTGAGGACCTGCTCAGGCCTCAAGGCCTCAATTTATTGATTTGACTAGTAGACATTAGTAGACTAGTTCCACCCCCGGCATCCAGATCACTTGGGGCATGCACCCCCTAAAAACGATCTCCCAAGAAGTAACATAACATACTGCAACTACTTAGAAATTGCTACTATCGTGGAGATACAAACTGCCTGTACACTTGAATATGGCGAAGAACTGGCACAGCAACAGGCTTGGGAAGTGTGACTCGTGGCTTCAGCTGTACTCAGGACCCACCTAGAGAATTCCCCGACGGAAAGAATCTGGAGATTGCTAGGGCATTTTCTGTGCCCACAGCCAGCTTCCCCAACCAAGCTTCCTTCCAAATTCCCTTGGGACCGACCTTTATGGTTTGCCAAGCATCTTATGAAGTTGCTTCGCTCGAATCCATTTAAATGGCTTCCGCCACTCCTAGCTGCATGGAAACTGAAGCACTGTGCAGTCATCAGATTTCTCTTGGACTCTTCGCTTCATTCTGTCCTGCACACCGCACGAGCCCAAGGCGCTGTCTCCATGGAAGGTGGGATCCGTAAACAGCGAGTCCTCACCTCAGCGCCAGGGCCAAAGGTCAATGGTTGGGCTGCACCGCAGCAGGATGAAGTGAACCATTCCCAGGAATCTAACCCATTTTCCAGGTTGACAGCTCTAGGGTTCGGCTGTTTGCACCAAAAGTGGCTATGCGGACAAGCAGGACAGGAAGCTTGACTCAGCATGCACTTTTGACGTTGCTGCTTGAGGAGGCTGTGCCCAACAAGGGATAATGAGCAAAACCAGATTGCTCACACTCATCAATCAGTTTGAGAAATCAATTGGTCACAGTGATGTGTCACGAGAGCATTGAACGATTGCTTGAAATGGAGTCTCTCTTCTTTTCTGCTGTCGCCACACAGGAGCCATGCAATCAAGCAAATTTATATTCCTCACTCCTTTCTGCACGTTCTGCAGGTAGCATTCAAAATATCCCTTTGCGAGTGCGCATCTGCACGTTGTCCTGAGCTCTGCTACAGGTCTCCGCAGCAAGCCACGAAACCAGAAAGCAAGCATGCCTTAGACGCACAAAACAGCGGTTGTCAGCGGCTTCAGTTTGGGAGAAGGCTGTTGCGGCGAAATGTTCCAATGTTGCTTGATGACTCCGTGATTTCCTTACCATGCCAGGGCACTATTACGCTAAACCATCCAAAGACACAAGGCAGAAACACAAACACCTTCACGAGGGCTGGGAGTGTTAGCAGCGCAGATGTGGCCCAGTACACTCCAGTGGTGAAGGGCAGTATGGAGACCTAAGCTTCCATAAGGCTGTGAGTATCAGCTTCCATGGCCCAAGCTTGACAAACATTGAAGGTTACTCCCATGACGCTCGCTGATGATTCCGGATTCGAACATGCACAGGACATCATAGACACTCTTCAATCAGGTTGCGCCACTGGCGAGGCCGACAATTCATCCTTCATGAAAAACATACAAACACAACCTGCGAAACTGAAAATCACCTGAGTAAGCGGCACAAATCAATCCAATCCTCAGTTGACTCCAGTCAAAGTCGCGTATGATCTTGTATGAATACCTGCTCCATGTACTGGCTATGCAATGAATGGAGATTGGCTTGCGACGAGCGTCCGAATGATCCAATACCCACAAGCATCTTCCGCGTTTGACGTCTTCCCTGGGCCAAGTATGATCTGATTGGTTACCTTGGCGCGGCATGCTATGTGGTGCGATCTAAAAGTGACGGCGGAACCTTCCAATTTGCAACCCGGCCACTGAAGACAGTAAAGTGCACAGGAATGCAACCTGAAATGCCCCAAAGCCAGAAATGTAAGCTGGGCAATTTTGTGCGGAACGGTGTTCCAGTGATTACGGTTTGGAGACTGAAAAGGAGTGGCCAGTGACACCAATTCAAGCACCAGAAGTAGACTTCAGTCTGCCACATCTTTGGTGCCAAGTGAAGGCCCGTGACGAGTCTTCAAGTACTGCAGAAAGTCTCTGCTACCATATTATGTAGCCTTGGGCATGACATGCCATATCCACCCTAGTCAGAAAAAAAGTCTGTAGTGGTAGTGGCCTACAAATCGTTATATCGGCAGCCTGAAACTGTGCTATGGCAACACCCCCCCAAAAAAAATAAAAACACATAATTGCAAACATCAGCAAACCCCTTAATTTATGGTACAAGTAGTGGGAGGCCCGGCGTCTGATACACAGATACACAGTCTTCAAGGTGTAGTAAGCCAATAGAGGCAACCAGCTTAGGCGTTCCATTCCCTTTCAGATATGTCTAATTCTCATGGCCAGGTGGCAGAGTTGGCAAGTCTGAAAGGATGTTCATCTTCACAGTGTTGAGGATGGAACAGGCACAGCTGGCAGCGCAAGCCGTCAGCTTCATACCAACCCAGGAGGTAGAGCACGATGCAAATCTGCAGCTGGACACAGGCAAAGATCATTAAGATTGAACAAATTGAATACTGATGATGGGAGGTTTTCTGGTAAAGCTCAGATTTCAACTCAAGGTTATCATCTGTCACAATGCAAGTCGTAATCCCTTCCCCCTATTACTGAACGTACCCCAAATACTAAAAACTAGGGTCCATTTTAAATGTGTGGACATTTGAAGTTGGCCAATTTGAGTTTTAATTGAGCCCCGTTAGAAACAATTTAAAGATGAAGGTCCCATTTGAGGGTTTCACCCCCTAATAATAAAAACTAGTGAACACCGGGGCTTTTTTATTAAGGTCCGTCGGTCCGTCCTTTAAGATCATGTTTTATTAAGGTTTTCGATTTAACATTGAGGGAACCTTCGAAATCCAATTTTTGGCAACATTTTAATTAGATTTCAAAAAGGATTTTAATCGATGTTGAAATAGATGATTTTAGTTTTTTCCTATTAAGGTTTTTAGTTTAATATTAGGCATATTTGGGGAACCGTCGAAATCAATTTTTTGGCAATATGTTAATCAGACTTTAAAAAGGATTCTAATCGATTTTGAAATAGATGTCTTTTAAATTAAGGTTTTAATAGTTTTAATTTTAGTATTAAGGGGAAGCTTCGCACCCGTATTAAATTTCCCCTAATATTAAAAACTCCTCCGGGTGTTTCTTATTAGGGGGGCCGGTATTAGGGGGAAGGGATTACTTTCAACACTTCCTCATGCATTTGGTTCACAAACTGCTTCTCCAGGCGCCTGTTGCGGAATGTCCATGACCAGCAGCTTAATCAAAATCACTGTTTGGAAGTGGTTCCCCGAGATGTTCCCGGCAGTTCCGGACACTGGTTGGCTCTCAGCCTGATCCTGAGGCCAGGTTGCCAGCAACGGATTTTGGATCATAGGAAATCAGCTGTGCGGGCCTCAGTCAGCTCCATCGATGGCGACATGTCCTTTGGTTCCGCGAGAGCTTTCATTGTTCGTGTGACGAGTCTTGCATAGACAGCCTTAGGGAGCATGTCACCCAAATAACACGTGTTGACGCAATTTGAGTCAATTATGACAATTTGACACGGTTGAAAAAAAACAATGTAGGATCAGCGACTTTGAAATTCTACGTCAAGTCCTGCAGCAAAAGGGATGTCGCATCTCAAATGCCAGCAAAATACCCAAGTTGCAAGAGCACCAAGCGGTAAAAAACATCCCAGCAGATCTCGACACCTAGTGAGAGCACGGTGTCGATGGCCCTGATGCTGCCTATTGAAAGCTCTCCAAGAAGCCGTCAACGAACATTGCGTTCCAGACATCGCACTAGTCAGTTTCTCCAGGTGATCCTGGTGTGATTGGAAGTCCTCAACAAATATCACAAATCGTGTCCGATGGGCCGACATCTCAACATTTCGCAAGATCCCCTCCCAACGAACATGTCCATGTTGACGGACTGCATCCACAGCCTCTTGTGACATGTCCTCTATGGTCATGATCCTTGTGCCATAGCCAGTTCGTTGAAAATTCAATCCAGTCGGAGGAGGCTCAATCCTTTTCACTTCCAAGCTCCAGTGATGTCCTTCATGCTCGTCGTCAAGAGCAGCCGGTGTAAGCTGCGGGGGATCTTCACCGATTCGCGGAGCTCGGGACACTGGATCGACAGACATCAGAAGCACTGCGGGAGAAGATCGAGTCTCAAATTGAAAAATGTAGGTAGAATTGAAGCCTCGGCTCCTTGAGGACCCGTTGCCCAATGGCACCAAACCCTGGACGACTTGCAACTCAGCACGTTTGTCTTGAAGCTCTTTGAGTCTAAGAGCAGTCTCTTGCTGCAGCTGGGCAATCTCAGCATCGATAGCCTCGATTGAATCAAAGTGGTTTCTTGACATATGGCTGCTGTAGCTATAGTGTGGCCGCGTCCTTAGCTCTCCGAACCAGCTCAACCTTCCCTGGAGCACAACGTCTTCCCAAGCAGACACATTCCACAGTGGTCCAACGCAAATTCCGTGTCTTGTGCGTTCTGGAGCACAGTTGGAGCTCAACGTGCTCTCGTACACAAACAGGTTGTCTCGGACCTCCTGCCAGAAGTGGAATTGCAAAACGAGCGCCAAGACCTGAAAAACCAGCCATCCACGAACGGTCTGCAGTTGTGGCTCCTGCAAAATGAGACCGGTGCTAAAGAAGCTGTCATCTGAATGCGCTCTTCGCCGCACGTTTCGTCGGGAGCTGGTCTTTTGCCGCGTCCTTCCCAGAGTGCTGCTGCCATAGTGGGCCTGGTGAAAAGATGAAAAACTGTTTGGCATCTGATCATAGGATAGGTGAACAGAAACTAGCAAAAGTGCAAACAAAAACTGAAAAATGTCAACCAATTTTCGCTCAAGCACTCGTGCAGTCATGGGAGGAGGCTTCGTATGTCCAGCAAAGCCTCTTGACCATTGCTGAGGCCTGCTTCATTGCTGCTTTTCTGCTCCACCTAGTTGTCGAGTCATGATAGCAATTCTCGACTACAACCTTTCCGAACCTGTGGCGCATTGAATATGCCCTGGTGGGCTTGTGACACATCAAACATCTATCAAAAAATAATGCTCTTCCTCCACTCTGCAATAGAAATGCCCCAAAGCAGTAAACGCCCACTGACGTAGAGAGAGGTAGAGTAAGTGAAGAAACATGTATTGATGCTCAGGAGACAAAAGCCTGATAACTGATAACATGTGCGGAATCAGTATGCAGAAAAACAATTCATGACAGCAGAACGCTTTTCCCTACTCCTTTTCTAAGTCTTTTCTTGTGCCCCTGTGAAACACTTCAAGTGCCATGGTTGCCATGGCTGAGATTTGGCATCATTGGTCACGCCAAGCGCGTTCCCAATGTCTTGCCAAGCTTAAAACCAAAGAATTCAGATTTTTGTCCTGGCCCCATCAGCAACCATCTTGCTAGCCGCTCGAAAGACCTCACAGCTTTCGAAACGTTGGCTCTAGGAGCTTTCCAGCCAGCGCGCCAACGACACGAATCTTTCCTTACTCCGCAATCAAGCGAATCCGCATCCAATCAGCCAATCACATTGATATCTGATCTAAATTCAACACACCTGCACTTCGACATTTCGAGCAGTGCAAGCTTCCAAGAACCACAGGAGTCGCCAAAGCCCAGACCATGATGCCAAGCCTCAGTCACACGCTGCAGCTGATAAGGCCAATGAAAGAGATCTCAAAATTGGCTCCGTTTCACCTTCAAAGTGGTAACAAATTCATGCAACCGCACAACACTCCTGGGATCATAGATCCAACAAAGCTGGTCACAATAGAATGCTCCCTGCCGCGGAGCATGCTTGTATGCACGCACGCGCAATCTTTGAACATCAAGGCGGTATGCTGCAGTATGCTTCTTCGAACTGTGACTCACTGGCGACTCACTGGCGACTTGCTGGTACTGTTGCTGTGAACCGCTTCCAAGCCAAGCAGCCCAAAAGCCGTGCTGAAAGCATGTAGTGTTTCTGCAGGTCTTGCCTGGAGGCATGCCATAAATGAGCAAACATTCTCCTGAAATTTGCAGCAAAACATGGGAGAACACACATTTCTGTCCTGCAAGTCCTCAAGTGCCACGCTGCACCTGACAGGTACACTACGGGTACACTGGCTACACCTTCTCAGCTCAGCTAACTCAGCTAAGTGGTGCGTGAAAGCGCTGAGGCAATTGCGAAGGCAGCGTGTCGCCGCTCAAGCATTGATATGCCTAGCAGAATTGCTCAAGCATTGAATCTGCTGAGCAGCTCTAGTGGTACTTCCTTTCCCAGCTTTGTCTCTGCAGTCACGCTGCTCTCTGCCCAAGGGTTATGAAGCAAGGCATCATGACGAGATCCACTGGAAGTGATAGCTCATTGATCACCACAGCTAAAGCTGTCATCCTCGGGAACCCAAATCAATATTAGGGTCAACAATTGAAACTAGGTTTGATCTATTTTGCACGTTTTTTTCTAAACATGTTCAACCTTGGCTCTGGGATGCTCTGGGACTCGCACGGGACACTAAAACGTTGGACTTTCGGAACTCCAGCAGAATATACCAAAACGCAAAAGAGCGTTGCTGGCATTGTACATGGCGGGACCTGAGTCCAAATCCATCAAATCCATGAGACTCTCAAACCATCTGCTAGGGCCGAGCAAGCAAAGCCAAACCACTGCGGAATCCTCATAGTGTATGGCAATTCCAAGGCGATAGCCGGAAAGACTCCTCCCCAGAAGCCGACACTCGCCTTGGAAACGGCAAGCAGTGCAGCATTCCGCCAGTTGATGAAATCCGAGGTGGGGGCAGACACAACGACCTGCCGCTGGGACATCTCTTTCGCCGGCTTGATCACATTTTGTTCCTTGGATCACTTGCACTCCATTGCTTCAAGAGAGGTACCCGCATCTGCAAAGTGTTCCAACCCAAAGCCATGCAGCAAAGCAAGCTTGCATCCACGCACGGTAGCCTCGTAAGGCTACTGGGCAACAGAAGATGAACTAAGCGGAACTTGATCAGCAACATGAACACTGGTCAGAAATGGTTGGGCACCGGGTAGAGCCCGCCTGTTCGTCGTAAGCATTGCATCTGTTGCCGAACGCATCGCAATGAGATCATGGGAAAACTGGGGACAAACAATTCGCATGCAAGGTGTCTGGTTCGTTCGAACTTGGTCCCAAAAGAACTGTCCCCATCAAGTACCCCAATGGATTTGGTGAGAGGTGTGACAACTAGCTGACTAGACCAAACTTCTAAAGGCCTTAGATGAGCTGAGCTTCTCCAATCGTCAAAATGTTGCAGACAGGAACAAAGTGAGCAAAGTGAAGCTTTGCCTTTCCAACCCCTGCACTTAGTATGTTTCGTATGTTTAGTTGAGAGAGCAAGCCACCTGGCACCTGGTACCAAGTCACACGTAACACACGACTAGTTTCACCAACCGCTTCACGGCGCTTCTGTACAGGTCGTATGAGGCCGTGCAAGTCTTACAGCCTGGTGATAGAAAACGTCGCCACTATGTGGCTTTTTCATGCTGTCTCCATCTTTCTCCACTATGATTCAAAGCTGTCTAAGCACATCCGAATACGTTCAAATACAGAATACATCATAATTCATAATACTACGTACATATATCAAGTATTGTAAAGTCCTAAGTTGAGTTGGTCTGAAGCCTGCCACTATTCACCTGCCAAGTCTGAGTAGCCACAAGTTTCAGGATCAATGAGACCTGCAATTCACTCCTGCACTCACTGGATCTCGAAGACTTTCTTCATCCCGATGATCAACTCCCAGTCTTCTTTTTTCATCTCATCCTTGAAATGTTCTTTCAAGGTATCAATGCTCTGCCTGCTGATCTGGGAGTATAACTGGTTGTTGTGATCAAAGTGCCGTCCGTACATGATGTGATTTTGAGCTGTAGTCTGTTCGATCTTCACACATACAGTGTCACCTCGGCGAGCCAGTTGTACTGTTTTCTTGTTGTTCTCAATGCCAGCCACATGACCGATCACCAGATTTTGTTTGTCCGGGATGCATATGGGTGTTCCAGTCCGGAGCTGACCACCAACCACCTGACATCCTAGAATGATTGGATCCTGCTTCCGGAAAATGTGCTGTTTGTCAATCGATAGCACCACAGGGAACACAGCCACTTTTTTGGACTCAGTCTTCTGTGATTCTCGGAACTTCTCCATGTACTTTGTGAACTTGTCCTGCAAGTGGTAGATGATGTCCGCGGTGAAAATTGTCACCCCATCAGTATCTGCCTGCTTCTGGGCTTCCTGATTCACCTTGACATCAAATGCCAAGATCAGGGCATATTCTGGATGCTTCTTCTCCTTCATGATGCAAGCCTTCTTGACATCCCTTTTGTGAACTTCACCGATTCCAACATCGAAAACTGGGATCTTCATGTCCTGCAAAAAGGAGAGCAAAGCCTCCAAAGAGCCCAGAGTGCTGGCCTTGACGTAAACGCCAGCTGGTTCTTTCTCAAAGTCATTCAGGATGCTTTCCTCAAATGGTGGGCACTGGGCAGAAGGTCAAACATGTCAGGTTCATTTCCAAATTGTACCACAACCATGACAGAACATCGGCGCATTGTTGGGAGCATGCCTATAGAGTTGTCAGTCATTGTCATGTTTGAATATGTTTGATGTCACTCTGCTTGCACTATGGATATCTTTTGACACTGTTTGATATTCTGCTGTGGTCGACTCTGATAGTTTGGGTTTGATCCCTAGGTGTCGCAGCCCCCAGACAAGGGTCAAAACCTTCACTCACATCCTCTTTGAGTTCTTCAAGGTCGTCATCAGGGCCAAGAACCTGTCAAAGGGAAGAGCAGCGTACAAGTTTTGCAAACTATAGGTTGGTAGGTAGGTAGATAGATAGATGGATAAATAGATGTGATGAGATATGATGAGATATGATGAGATATGATGAGATATGATGAGATATGATGAGATATGATACGACTAGACAAGGTAAGAGAAATTGTGCGATAGATAAAGCAAGAGAGAGAGAGAGGGAGAGACGTAGAGAGACAGGGACGGACATGTAAACAACTCGATGCTAAGACCTACCAAAATGAGGACTGAGCGTTTTGCTGGTGTCTCTTGCAAGTCTGTCTATGAGTGTCCTCTGACCAAGCCAAGCCAAGGCACAAGCAATTCAGTGCCAGCAACAGCATCTTCGAGGCCGGGGGCCGAAATCTTCACACCCATTGACGTGCTGATCTGCGCATGGTGCACATACTCATTCCTCAGCTGAAACAGCTGTGACAAAATGGCTCAGGATGGCTCAGGTATTCATGTGTTGAAGTTGAAATGCACAATTTGGTTCCTCATGTGTATGTGTTTGTGTATGTGTCTGGGTGTCTGTGCGTCTGTGCGTCTGTGTGTCTGTGTGTCTGTGTCTGTGTGTATACGTCGTGGCATCTGGGAATAGCACGACAAAGCCCTTGCACTCTTTCAAATAAGTCTCTTCACTCGCATCTCTTTCATAGGCTGCGGGGTCAACAGGGCACGAATGGTTGTAACGATGGGGCCTCCGATGCCAGCCAGCACAATCGTGTCCCCTTCTTTTAGGGTGCCATTGAGCAGGACCACATCAATGGTGGTACCTAAACCCTCAATGTTCTTCACCTCAATGACAGTGCACTCCAACTCCTCTCTGACTTCGAGCTTGTCAACCATCAGGTCCTGTGTCAACTTCAAGATCATGTACAACAAGTCTGGGACGCCTTCACCAGTGAGGGCACTCGTGGGCACAATGGAGACAGCGGTTCTGTAGTCTGGATTCTCCCAATACCTCGGTGAGCAAAGCAAAATGCGCTTCGAAACGTCTCACTCGCTTCCTGAACTCCAGTCGTGTTGGAGGAAACAATTTCAACGGAGTGCTTTTGGCACCAACCTATAAGGCCTGGCCTTCAGCAACCTAAGAAGTAGCTGCACAAATGAAGTGCAATTCATAGCGACAACATTCCAATCATTTCCAATCAACAGTGTGCTGAAAGCAAAGCAGGATCATGGTGACCAGAGTTGCGACAGGCATGACAACAAAGCTTGATGCTTTCAGACTGATCAGTGGTGAGATGACAAATCTGGCTGTGTCTTGGTGATGATGACGACGGCCATCTTTTGTGTCGTCGTTTTTCATCCATGTCATGTCATGTCATGTCATTTCGCGAAAAAACAATTCATGCATTCATCCATTAATTTTACTGTTCAAGTGCCAGTGAATGTGTTTGTAACTATCATTGCTAGTCACATCATCATCAATGGTGTTATTGATGGCTGAAGGAGATAAGGCTCCCGAGGGGGCAGGCCCTACCCATAGAGCAAAGCATTGTTGCTAGATGTTGCAAGCAACTCGTGTACATGTAGAAATTGCATGTCGCTGCCTGGTGCTGCGAAAAATTGCAGCAGAACAAGATTTCCATGACCGAGCTACAGGTTGCAGTTCAGACCCCGTTCGTTGAGCTGAAGAACCACATTGTTGAAGCGTGTCCTGAATTCCTCTCGCACAGAGTCTTCCTGTCTGCCAAGAGCGTCCTGAATACCTGTGTAAGTCTTAGAGTTCCATTTGTACAGAATGTCAATCTTATTCAAGGCAATGATGAAGGGACATTTTCTCTTCTTCAGGAGCTCCAGCGACTCAACCTGGGCAGAAACTACCAGTAACTAGCCACACATTCACAGGGTTGACACAAACACTTGCTCGGAAGCATCAGGGTGCCAATGACGCCAAAGAACTGTTTGTGGCTCCAAGCCATGCCTTAGCAAATTCTAGCACAAAGTGATGCAAAGAAAATAGATAAAAATAGTAGGAGCAGGGAGTGCAACTTGTTTCCAAGGTACATGATGTCAATCACCAGAATGGCAAGGTCAGCAAGTGAGGAACCACGCATACGCAGGTTGTTGAAAGACTCCTCAGCCGATGACTGCTCAAGTCTGCACCAAACACGCAAATCCATCTGAATTTAGCCGGAGGCTCAGTACTTTCGATAAAATATCGTATCAGTAAATAAGGCGCCATACCGTAGTGGACAGTATGGACTGTATCAATGTGGCTAAACGCTCCAAAGTTTTCATTCACTGCGTTTTTGACAAGCAACGTGGCCAGGGGTGTCAATGATGAGGACGCCAGGAACCTGCATTGCACACCCGGAGCCGTGCGTAACCCATCCTAACCCACACATGTTTGAAGAATTACTACATTGAACTAACCGCTAACTGTAAGCGCCCAACCAGAGGCATAATGATGCATATACCAGTCCGCCTCGCCTCCAAGTCAAAGTCTTCATCCACCTTCTTCGTCTGCTCTTGCAGGGCAATATCTGGGAAGAAGGTTGCACCAATCTGTTGCGTGATTCCACCAGCTTCACCCTCTTGTACGTTTGTTCTTCGGATCTTGTCAAGAAGCTTTGTCTTTCCAGTGTCGACGTGCCTGGAGCACATGATTGACAAATTGGGCTAGAGAGGTTCAGCAACAAAACAGAATCAATTAACGCCTAGGTGCCCCATGATACAAATCACCGGAGAACGCAAAGGCGTGATCGAAGAGCTGCTGCTGCTGCTGCTATCGCTGTCGCTATCGCTGTCGCTGTCTTTGTCATCGTCTGACTCTGCAGCTTCAGCTTCAGCCGCTTTGGGGGACTTCTCTTCCGCTTCTTCCTCTAGCTTCTTCTCCCAATCGTCGTCATCATCTTCTTCCTCCTTCGTTTCCTCAACTGGCGTCGGTTTCTCAACCTCAGGCTCAGGCTTTGTCTCTTCCTCTAGCTTCTCAGTCTCCTTCTCAGCGGTCTCCTCTGTCTCCTGCATGCGCTGAGGCCTCTTCTTCTTTTTCGTCGCCATTGGTCTCTTCTGTGGCTTTTCCGCTTCCTCTTCAGCCTCTTCATCTTCATCCTTTCCCATGTTGTACCCAAACTGTTCACGGAGTTGTGCAGCACGCTTGGCCTGCTCCTTCTGCTTTTTGGTCAAGTATGTCCCTTCGGCCTTCTGCTTTGCTATCTTGGCAGCTTTGTGATCCCTCTTCCTTTGTCTCTCCTCCTCCTTCTTCCTCTCTTCTTCTTCAATCTGCCGCTGTTCTTCTTCAACTCTTTGTCGCTCCGCTTCTTCAAAAGCTCTTTTCTCCTCAGCAAGCTTCTGTTCTTGTTCCAAACGCTCGCGCGCCGCTTTCACAATCGCACTTTCTTTTTTAGCTCCTTTTTTTGCTGCTGCGGCTGGTGCCTCATCTTTGCTCGAGCTGGCTGCTGCCGGCTCTTTGCTTTCACCCTGCTCTTCTTCAGGAGCGGTTGCCCACAAGCCTTCACCTCCAGTCTTTTCTTGCTGCTTGGCCTTCTTCTTTTCTTTCTTCTTTCGATTGGCCAATGTTTTGGCATCGAGGCCCTCATCTTCAGCTTTGTTATCGTCTTGGTCTTCTGGTTGGGCCGCATCTGCCGGTTCAGGCTTGTACTCTTCCAGTGCAGCATCAAAGTCGTCGTCTGCGGCATCTGTGGTACCTTTGTTGCCTTTTTTCTTGTCCTTCTTTTTCTGGCTTGCAGACTTTCCTGCCGCGCCCCCTGCACCGGCTGCCACACCGGCTGCCTCTGTCGGGACACTCTCCTCTTGAGGTTTTTCTGCGGGTTCTGCAGGAGCATCTTCCTTGAATTCTGCCAGGAGCTCATCCAGGTCCTCATCCGCTTCTTTTGCAGCCTTGCCTGACATGCAGGGAAACCGTAAGCTAAACATTCCTATGGACATGCGCGAAAACAGGCGTCCCTAAGAATCAGAGGACTCAAACAGAACGGAAGCCAATTAGTTTTTTGTATGTGTTTGAAACTGTGTTTGTATGTTTTTGCGGTCGCAAATTAAAACACTTCCCCACCTGAGGTTCTGGGCTTTTTTATAATGATGATATCCCTTGTCCCTTGGTATATGTTCTAAACTGGCGATAAAGCGCGAAACGGATTCACTGCTCTTTGGCATGTTCGAAATAAATAATGCCTGTATATGCCTGTCCTGTGGAGTCTTTGCAACAATTGTCATGTTTGGTGGGTGTAGTGGCACAACCCAAGCCACAACCCTGGCCTTTCTTCTTCTTTCCCTTCTTATCATCCTTTGCACTTGCTGCGGCTGCTGCTTTTGCCTCCTCCTCTTGCTTTTGCTTGGCTTCCTTCTCTCGTTGCTGGAATGCTGCCACGGCTTCCTCATAGGGAGGTGCTGGGCTGCCAACTTCAGCAGAATCTGCAAGCATGATGGCCAAGTCACCATCAAGGATGTCGGTATCCCAACCCATCTCCTTCGGGCCACAAAACATTCCTGCACTCTCAATACCACCAACTTTGGCGACCTTCACCTCGATTCCATTTGCTGTAGTGTAGCCAGGTGGTGCAGCAATGAACTTGTGCCCAGCTGTCACATTGGGTGCGGATGTGACAATCTCCACAGGATCCATTCCCACGATAATCGCAACCTTACAGAGTTTCAGCTTGTCTTTTTTGGGGACCGCAGAGACTTCTGTTACCTCGCAGACTGTTGGGCCACGCTTCTTCTTCTCCTTGCCCTCTTTCTTCTCTTTTTTGTCTTTCTTTTCTTTCTTTCCATCCTTTTCTTCCTTCTCATCTGTAGCTTCTTTCTTCTTCTTTTTCTTCTTCTCGCCGAACATTGCTATTTCCTCGCTTACGTCCTCCTTTTTCTTCTTCCCAGACTCAGATTTCTTTGGTGAAGGCGAGGACTTTTCCTCCTCATCCTCATCATCGTCATCAGAGTCCATCATCATCGCAAAGGCGCTCTTCTTAACCGGCTTCTTTGTCTCTGGCTCGCTTTCTGAAGCTGAGTTCTCAGCTTCGTCGGGCTCAGGTGTTTCCACCTCTTGCTTCTTCTTTGATGGCATCTCGCCTGGAAAACTGCCTCTAAGGCAAATCTATTCCTCGATGATTTTGGAGTCAGGGTTGCAGAGATGGGACGCCCGTACAAACGGACAGGTGGCCTCGAATGGCAAGTCCCAAAGTCCGACAAAGTCCCCAAGTCTCTAAATGTGACGTGGGTAAATATCAATTGCAGAAGTGTTCAGGTAGATGGTGTTGGTTGGTCTGGCTGCAGTCTTGAGTGCTATGCGTTATGTGGCTGTAAATGGCATGCTTGCGCCAGCTAGAGCTTGGAAACAGCAGCAATGGGCACAAAAAAACATGAACAAAACCTGATGCTGAGTTAGTTGCGGATTTGAATTCCGATGCATGAAGCTGGTGCTCCGGGTTCCATGCTGCTTTTTGCTCTCTGCAGTCAGGCTCACAGGCCCGAGGCACAGCAGGCGGCTTGAGCGCCCTGTCAATTCACAAAATCAGTTGATCCCACAGCTGCTGACGCAACTGGATATTGTGCTAAATCCAAGCACGCGTCCCTTTTGGAGTGTGCTCCAGCGTGCTTTGGGGAAAAAACAAAGGTCAAAGGACCGCACATTTAAAATGAGTATCTAAGGCAAGAACCTTCCAGCATGACTTGTGCATCCAAATGATTCTGGAGCGATCTCAGCCGTGAGCATGCATTTCACGAGGACATTAACGCACTCATTCCAATCCTTAGTCCAAAATTGAAAATGATTGCTGAACAGGCTTGCCTGGGATGAGTCTCAAGACCAAAGAGTGGTGATTAAATGCTGCAGGCTGATGGGGTGGCAGAGTTAGGCCCTTAGGCAGTGTGGACACTGCCTCTGTGGTGACTTCAGCAAAGCCCAAGGCTCTTCAGGGCAGTGGCGCTGCAACTCCATGCTCCAACTCTCCAGCTGTCGCATCAAGTCTTCCACGGCCGAGGCAGCTGCTGTGCGCTTGTGTGGCAACAACACTTCCTGTGGTGAAACAAAAGTAAAGGCCAATAACAAGACTTAGCTGGGCCTTACCCTACAAAGAGCAGCGCAAAAGAATTGTACCAAGGTACAAACAACTCAGCATCCACTGTGCCACGGACTGCAGATTGAAGTAGGATGCCCCAAATTGCATCGGCAGGCCCCATCACTTCGTGCGTTCTATTCGCCGCAGCTAGCAGCAGTTTTACCTCATTAAATTTTCTCTGTATTGATTTCAAAGCTGCATCTGTACCTAAGACTGCCAATTCAGGCTCCACGGCTTCTCCTAGTGCGGGCTCACTTCGCTGACGCCTGAGACGTTGCAACTGTGCTTCACCAGCCCTTTGCCGCAGCTCAGAATATACAGGCACCTGGACAAATCTATGTGGCAACAAGTTCGAGATTAAGGCAGTTTGGTCGTCAGGACTTTCGAAATATGAGAGCCAAACAAGTCGTGGTAGCACCAAGAAGAGCTCTGCATCAAAGTTCATGCACATCTGCGCAAAAGGAGCCCAACATTGCGAAACCCCGAGCAGTCTGGGAACCAGTTTACACAGCGCTGCCAGCACGGAGCGAGTCTGGATATAGCGGGCCCCTGTGATCCAGGCCTCTTCCCATCTCATTAGACTGCTCACCAAATCTTCATTGTGGCAAAGCTGTGGGTTCACTTCCTCCAGGCCTCTTTCCCGCATGTCTCTCAAACATTGTCGAAACTCCTCCAAGGAGAGCAAGACCTGCTGTGCTATGACTCGTACGGCTTGCAGTGGGGTTTCTGAATCGATGGAGCACATTTTTAAAAGAGCTGCCGAGTTCTCCCAAATGTCTGAGGTCAACTCATCAAACGTCTTTCTATTCAAGTTTGCTGCAACATTCAGCTGGGAAATGCAAGCCACTAGCGCCCCCAAGTGGACTTGGTGCTCGTCACTGTCTTCGTCCTCAATTTGGGACAGCATCTCTTCCACATCTATGGCCTTGGCGACGAGTCCCTTTGCTTCATGCTGAACCCGAACGATCTCCATGATGTAGCGGTGCTCAAAATCGGCCCACGTGGAGTCAAGGCTGCGAAGCAATCGGCACAGCTCAGCTCTGGTCAAAGATGTGAAGCCCTCCAGGGAGCGCGGCAATATGTGATCAAGTTGAGCGAGCAAACCTTCCCATTGTTCCAGCAAGGCCAAGCATGCACTTTCCTTATGGAGCAAGACTGAGCAAGACTGGAAAGTATGGGAGAATGTTCCGAATGTTCTGCAACACTGGGTCCACTAGGTCGATGGGTTGGGTTTTCATGTTCCTCCAACATTTGCAGCTCATATTACCCTGAAAAGCGTGGCCATGTGCTGCTGAGCTTCTGCATCCTGACTAAGTTCAAACTTCTGACCGTTGGCCCATATGGCTCCACTGCGTGACAAACTCAAACAGGCTTCCAAAACCGCAACACCTTGGCATGGAACCCACAAAACTCAGCCTACATATTTCTGTCTGTCTGATGCATGTATGTTTGCATCATTTTGCATCCCTGTATTTCTGCTCGTCTCTTTGCCTGCATGGCTGCATGCATGATCATGCATGCCTGTGTCCATGTATGTATGCGTGCATGCAGGTATGCATTGATGTATGTGTGCATGCAGGTATGCATTGATGTATCTATGCAAGCAAGTCTGTCTGGACGTATGACTGTATGTATGTATGTGCGACGTACGTACGTACGTACGTACGTACGTACGTACGTACGTAAGTACGTAGATATGTATGTATATACATGTGTGTGTGTCTGTATGTAGGTATGTACGTACGTACGTATGTATGTAATTGTATGTGTATATATATATGGATGTATGGATGTATGGATGCATGGATGCATGGATGCATGTATGCATGGATGCATGTATGCATGGATGCATGTATGCATGGATGCATGTATGTTTGTGTGTATGCGTGTACGGATGTGTGCAGGCATGCATTAATGCGTTTATGCATTTATGCATACATGCATGGATGCATGCATCTGCGCATGAATTCATGCATGTATGTATGCACACGTGTATGTATGTCTATCTGGCATGGATGTATGTACGTGCGCGGGCATGCAGATATGCATCTATGGATGTGTGTATGCATGCGTCCATGTATGCATGCATGTGTGTTTTTCCGTCTGTTTGTAGGTGCATAGGCGTGCATATAATGCCTGTATGTATCCATGCATGCATCTATGTTTGCATATAGTATATATGTATTCATGTGTGCATGTACGCATACATGCATGTATGCGCGTTTCTATGAATGTCTGTCTGTATGTGCGCATGCATGCATGTAGCATGCTTGCATGTCTGTATGTACGCGTGCATGCATGTATGTAGGTATCAGTGTATGCAAGTAAGTGTGTAAGTATGCAAGTAAGTATGTATGTAAATATGTATGTAAATATGTATGTAAATATGTATGTAAATATGTATGTAAATATGTATGTAAATATGTATGTAAATATGTATGTAAATATGTACGTATGCTACTATGCAACATTATGTAAGTATGGGCAATGCAATGTATTTCATCTATGCAGGTGAAGCGCTGTAGTCTCTGTGAGGCTGGAGTTCTGCAAACTGTCCTTGAAAATCTCGTCCTCGGAAGCAGCGCCAACACCTTCATACCGGATTTATGCCTGGATTTGTTGGATAGAAATCTTGAAAGACAAAGAAATGATATGCAACGTTGCAACAATGGCTGCCGCTTCACGGTACAAGTACCAAGGAGCGATAGGCACGAGATGCAGGTTCAAGTTCAAGCGACGTAGCAAGGGCCTCCAGTTTCTCCAGGAATTTCTCAGCAGCACTGCAGCCTTCAGTGCCACAATGTGCCACAAGCGTTGTGGTGAACAAACAATTCATACCCTCTGGTAATTTAACATAGCTATGGAAAATCACAATTTTTAATGGGAAAATCCACTATAAATGGCCATTTTCAATAGCTATGTTAGTTTACCAGAGGGTAATTTTCTTGTAGAAACATTCGGAAGATTTCAGCACTCTCAGCTCTGGTCCCTTGCTACTTCGGGTGTCAACAGAGCCTGTCACTGGCACGAAGGCTGCTTCGAAACGGGAAAACTGCAGAGTTCTCATATTAACTGTCAACATCTGTCAACTGTAAGCATTTCACAACACTCCTGAGGGTACCCGTAAGAAGAAGACCGAAAGATGCTACTTGCAAAAAAAACCATTAACTCTTACCTGATAACTCTCTCAAGCTGCAACAGCAGGAAAAAACTATCTGACTCGACAAGCATTAATCTGCACCAAAACTGGGCAAGTCACACAAGATCTAAATCCCCAGGAAGAAGCAGCAGGAAAGATAAATAGATGGATGGATCAGTGATAGAGTCGGGATAGGTGATTCAGTGGGTGATGCCACAAACAGAAACTGTGAAATTCTCTGAGCTGCTCCACCAGGCATGGGCCAAACATGATGGAGGGATATGAAAGAAGCTCGGCCCAGCCTGCACTGTCAAAAGCCAAGTTGTCCCGGGCTGCAGCTAGCTCTACAAGGGAGACATTCTCAGGCAAGAAGTCGACTTCTTCCTTGACTATTTTGACTTGGATGCATCAGTGATCAGTCAATATCCGTTTCTTTTTGACCGTTCATGGGACAATGACAGGGTGACTCTCAGAACATCAGCCTCCTTCCAACACAGGCCAAGCAGCATCCTTCGAGGAGGTGGACATTAAGATCTAACTAATTAGAGTGCTGAGCCGCTCAGGATGAACATGGATGAACCAAGGCACGTGACGGCAACGAAACCCGACTGATATTATCATGCGTCCAGGGCTTCAAGTCTCTTCTCGTTCTATGTGGATTTTATTGACACCAATGTCCAGGCGTCCAAGAAAAGCATGAAAACATGTTCGAAACATTTGAGCGTTCTCAGTCGCTTCCTTTCATTTGCAGCTTTGCATCCCACATCACTTTGGTGAAACGGTGCATTCCCTTTTTGGGCTGCACCAACAAAAATGCGACTTCACAACATCATCTGGCAATGCAATGGCAACGAATTTCATGTCCAAAATGCTTCCAAGGCCTTCATGGCCTCCAAACTGCACAAATCAGCAGGACCAAACATCCGGCACAAATTCAGGAGTTCTGGCAGGTTCCGGCAGGTTCTGACGCAAGACTGAGAAAGAGACTGCCCATCCCTCTGTGAGTCTCAGAATGGCTTTGCCACTGGGCTGGGGCTAAGAATCCGTGGATGAACTGTTCGAACTCGATGTTGTAAGTTGGACCCTTTCAGGCCTGTCAAACGCATGCGTCTGGGGGATGCTGTCTGCGCGACCATGTGGATCTTCTGCGGTGCTGAGCCCATAATCTGAAAGATCCACTTGATCCACTTGATCCACTTGATCCACTTGATCCACTTGATCCACTTGATCATCCGCTTGAATCGTTTGATCCGCTTGATCCGCTTCACATGTACAGAACGCCTGCGAGACTTGCACTTCGGTCCCTTCAGTGGTTGTCGTGGCCTGTCTCATCTCTCTCACCTCGAGCTCTGGCCGCTCCAAGCTCTCAGAACCATCAGGGGGATCCAGATCCACCTGCGCCAAACTCAGCTCAAACATGTTCAATCCGTTCAATCTCTTCAGGTTAGATGTCACTCAAATCTCTATGATATGATAACCATAGGATTCATAGAATGATATAAATGTCACCTCAGCCTTCCTCTCCGCAAGCGCCCCTTGCAGAGCACCCTGAAATTGCAGCTATGGGCACCAACTTTCAGAAACTTGCAGCACTGAAATTGGTGTGTGGCATATTGAAAGATCAACCCAAAGAGAAAGCATCACAGCAAGGCACTCATAAAATGTAGAAATACGGTAACAGCCACTACAAACCACGAATACGCACTGCTTATTTCTTGAGCCATTGCCACACAGTAAGAAGAGGTGAAATGCTAAGACATAGGTAAAGACTGTGCAACAACACCCCCCGTGCAGTGTAATTACCGCACAGGAAGTGAAGCTGCAAATTAACTATGTACAGTCTAGTAAGGGATGCCGTTACATTAACCAAGTTAGGGAAACAAAACAACAAACCCAAGCCCGACCGTCGCCTAACCTTCTGATGTCTTTTGCGTCTTCACCTCGGTGTGGCGTGAATGACGAACAAGTGCAAAAGCATGACAAGGCAAACCGTTCAATCTGACACCAAGTACAACGACCAACGGCTGCTGCGAATGTCGATTCGGCCGAATGCATTCAGCTTTGATTTTGGCTCTACCGGGCTTGTGGTCGAACATGCAAACGTGTTGAAGTGTGGCCCATTACAAAGGCCAGCGTTTCCACGCGGCATCAAAAGTTCTTGTGGACGCCCGGGAGCATGCCGAAGCAAACAATATGAATTAAAGCAAAATGCTGAATTCGGTTTTGATGTGAACCCGCAGGGAAGCTTTCAGAAATGCTTCAAAGATGCCTTAACTTCGCAAGGCAAGAGCTTCCGCTCTGCGGTTCATGCAACTACCAGCCGTGTGCTATGCAAGAAGGAATCATGGCAAGAATAAGATATGAGTGCCAAATGCCTGCTTCAAATTATTTGCATTTAAAGCGTTAATGAAACTTTTGTGAACTTGAATGAGTTGGCAAAAATTCCGACTTAGCACACTTGTGTTGGAAATGATGGTGGAATCGCTCACCCACCTGTGCAAAATGAAGCTAATCGCCTAACCGAATTAGATCCGAAAAGGCAACAGCTTCCGCTGTGCGACACCTCTCATTGAAAGAAACTACCCCGCCTCAGATGAAGATAAATCCACCAGGCGAGAGGTTCCCCTCCGCGGTGCCTCAGCGATAGCCCGACCAACGTCGATCCCTGTATTGGTGGCCTTGATTTCGACGGCGCCAATCTTCCCACTCCTGGTCAGTCCACTGATTGTAGTAGTCGTTCCATTCCTGCTGACTGTAGCCATGTGTGGGCCCCTGATGAGAACCATATCCAGGACGCGAGGACCTGGTGACATCTGGGTTCTGCTGCCTTGTTGCAGGTAGGGGTCGGCTTCCGCCTTCCGTGTCCTTTGCCTCCGTGAGGGGGCGCAAGATGTTGTCGACATAGCTGAGAATGTCGGCATACACATCCTGCTTGGACAGCGCAAGGGATTGGAACGTCGTGTTGGCGACGCTCAAGACCTCAAAACGATCGGCCACAGGGATCAAGGCATAGGCGGCCGCGAACTGGTTGGCTCTGTAAAAGCGGTTCTTGTACCAGATGAGTACATGATCATCCACGATGATCGTCTTCATCTGTTCCTCTTCGTATGCGACCATGCACATACGCGCTTTGTACTGCCGAATCTTTCCAGTTCGGATCTCCTCTCGGGTGCGTTTGATGGAGGGAAGCACCACGTTGCCCAAAACGGTAATCCAATGCATACACCGAGGTGTAAGGTCTTGGACCGCACAATTGAAGGCGTAGTGGGCGTCCGTTCCCAGACGCTGTAGCAAAGTCAGCCCTGCTTTTCTCGCCTGCTTCATGTATGAGCGGGCGTGATTTTTGAGGACTGCAGCAGCAGATCTGATCTGCTTGGCACCTTGGGTGGTGCCTGCTACATCGTCATCGCCCAGAAGGTCCAACGTCAGCTCGAAGCCCAGCTTCTCGGCCAACTCTTCCAAGCGGAACACCTGACACGCACGACGCATGTCGGACATTGTCGCCAGCGACAAGCCGCATGCGAGGCACACCAACATCCCCTCAGGAAAGATCTTCCTGCACCGGGGGCATGTCAATTCCGGCATTGCCAGCATTGAAACATACCGCCAGCGCGTGAGGTTCCCCTCCGCGGATGGGTCAAATGCCTCCTGATCGAAGCGATCAGAACGGCGTTCCCGCGCGTTGTCAGGGGCGATGTCGAAGCCAGCAGCAGTTGCCGTCGGCTTGCGTGCCACACAGAGGAGATTGGTGAAGTTGAGCGGCCTTTGCTTGATCTTGGGCAGCAACTCATCGACGACAGGATATGGTGTCGGAACTTCCTTGTAAATGAGCGGACGTCGCAGAGTGATGACATCCTTCCACTGATCGTACTCATTCACGAACATGTTCTTCAACACCTCCAGGTCCGAAATCTCGTACCTCTCAAGTTCGTCGTAGTTGGGAGTGCCCTTCCGAGCCTCGTTCTCCTGCCAAGTGAGAGCGTTCTCGGAGGCCTTCTGCCGGAGGTACTTCTTCACCCCGTTGTAGCCATGGTTCGCCCAAAGGTATTGCGACTTCTCGCAATCGAATGCGTAGATGAGGCAATGATTGGGCACCCAGTCCTCAGTGATGAGTGCACCGGCCAAGGTTTCCACCAGGCGAAGACCATAGTGCAGAGCACAATCGGTGTCGATCGCGATGCACAGCGGTCGGTTCGTCCTGACACCAGGATCCTTGCCTTCGATTTCCCAAGGCGCATGGCGGGTCATATACACATGACCCTTGCATGAAGTGGCCCCTGGAAAAATCCCCGTGCAAATGATCTGCTGGAGGGAGTCCCATGAAGTGTAACGGTAAATAGCCTTGAACTCTTCTGAGACCTCGGCTTCCGCCAGGTGAGGATAAATGGGGACCCTGGGGTAGAATCCCTTCTTCAAGTCCTCGACCGTGAACTGGTAGTCAAGCGAGATGATTTGCTTGACCAATGGAGCCGTTCCCACCTTGTCGATGAGCGACTGGTCATGGCCTTGGCAGGCCTTCACGTGGGTGATGCGGTACGGCATGTCCATGGTTGTCAGTTCCCCGACAATTCCAGCCTGAACGCGGCACATGAACCTGTCCTGAGTTCGAAGGATCAGGTACAGGTCCTGTCGCGAAAGCTGAGCGCGATGCCGCTTTCGGAGGTACGTGTACATGGACTCAAAGTTCAAGTACAGCTCCTCATCAAATTCAGGAGGAATATGGCGATGGTGCGCCTCGAGGAACTTGTGGTCATAGCCACGCAGCAGCCCGGTGACCCTCTTGGAAAATTTAAAATCATCATGACCGAGTCTTCCGAGATCCCTCAGGCCTGGCAGGTCAGTACACCGGATGGTGAATTCCCTGCGCTCGCCCGTTCCCGGGGAGAAAAAGTACCACTTGGGATACCCATGTGGTCGCAAGGGTGGTTCAGCCGGAGGCTGAGGTCCACCCGTTCCCGGGGGAGGAGCACTTGCCATAGGCGGCTCCTTCTTGGCCATCTTCGGGGCAGGCTCCGACGAAGACGTAGCTGCAGGCGCCGATGACTTCTGCGGAGGTGCCCTCGGTGAGGTTGTTGTCAACGTTGCAGGCGGTGCCTTGAAAGGCAAAGCTTTGGGCATAGGATGGTCCGCAGCTTCCGCTGGGAGTGCAGGTGGCTCCGGCTTGGGGGATCCAGTTGCACTCTTCGGAGTCGGTGGCGGACTGGGCTTTGGGGACGCCATGGGAGACGTTCCCGTCGCCGTTGAAACCTTTGGGAGCCGCGGAGCAGGCTTGGGCTGAATCATGGTAGCCTGATCCCTCATCTTGGGTTTGATGAATTGGCTGACAGTGTCCCCGATCACCTGTGCGATGCCGCTCGAAGATGATGCCGCTTCGGATGAGGAAGCCGCCTTCGACTTGGCCTTCGACATGATCTGGACAGTGGCAGCAGGGTCACCCGCGCGAAGTTTTTCCTCGGCGGTCTTGGGCTCCTCGAAGATTTCCCGTTCCATCTGACGATGCTTCTCCTCATCCATCAAATCAAAGCGACGAATGATGACTGCACCACTCTCAGTCTGCTGCATGGATTCCTGCCGAAGTTCGAGCTTGGCAGGATCACGTGTGACGTCGGTGTCCAAGATGTTGACTACGCCAGAGCCATCCAATTTGAAGTCCACAGCATGGATCTTGTTCATCAGATGGGAGCGCAGCTTCCGCTGGCTAAACATTGATGCTGAGCCGCCGACAATGGGTTCTCTGAAGACAATCTCCTCGTCAGCGTCCGGCTCGTCAATGTCACGCTCGTCGGAAACACCCGGCAACCGATCCAAGAAGGGCTTGAGGATGGCGTCGATGAGCTCACCATCCATCTCCGGCTCTTTGACCTCATGCGGTTCAAAGTGCTCGGGTTCCCCCGGCAGTGCAGCATCCACGGACTCCAAAAGCTGCCAGTTCGATGACGCCACCGTGGCATCATCCTGCACCGCAGGAGCCTGTGCGACTTGTGCACGTGCGGGGTCAACTTCGTTGGGAAGCCGTTGCCCTTTGGGTCGGGTCTCCTTCACATAGATTTCCCAACCGTCCACGTCCATGGAGACCAACACTTCTTCCATCTCTTCCCATTGAGGGTTGTTTTCAGGTTGAGGGTTGGCCAGCGATTCCTCGCGGCGCTTCTTCATCTCAGCCATCTCGACCAAGGCCTTGCAAGACCGAAGCCGAAAAAGGTGATAGCCAAGCGCGCCTGCTTCGGAATAGAACCGAATGCACTGGAGGCGGTTATGCTCCGAATTCTCCATGTGCTGGCCGTCGTATCGTGTAGTACACTTGATAAGCGACGTGGCATCAAGGACGCAGAGTCCACGTTTCCTCAAAGCCTCAGCTTCGCGAATCATTTGACGGTCATAATCGGGGTGCAACC